CTCTGGCGTTCTCTCATGGTCTCTGCTTCTCCTTTGCTGCTCTGCTGGTTCCACTCTCGTCCTGCTGCTCTTTTTGCTATTCTCATTCTCGTTCTGCTTCTCTGCTGGTGTGCCCATGACGCCGCCCTTGTAAGTCCAGTCTCAGCCCAGCTGTGCCCACCTATGCGTGCCCACATCCTACTTCAGGAGTCTACCATCAGGCATGCATGTAGGACCACAGGGACCCATCATTAATGCTAATGGCTGGAGGGCGGAAAAGCCTGATAATTTTTCACTTACCCTACACCCATGTAAACTGACTGTGTACAAGTCTTTTTATGCCCCTATCTCCAGCCTTGAGTCTGATGCTCCTTACTGCAGTGAGGTGCCTTAAGACATTTGGAGCATGTTTGGGGGCCTAAACAGTCACAGGCCCTGCAGAGGTGAGCACCAGACAGGAATTGGAGGTACACCGAGTTGCCTGTCTTTGGAAGAGAACCCTCAGAAGGTGGATCATATGAGAAAAAGTCATTTTGCTTGGGTAGCTGACTCCTAAAAATACACAGAAAAGCTCAGCACAGTGGTGTGTGTGGCAGAAGAAGAGGCAGCAGAAGAGGAAGATGCTGCAGCGGGAGGCTTGGTGCAGCGGGGTGTACAGCTGTGGTAGGAAGACAAGCTGACAGCAGCACAGTGTCAAAGCAGGGGAACCCAGCAGTGCCAAGCCATACCAGCCTCCCCTCCATCTTTTTTGGGGAACTGTACACTGTGCAGCAGCTGCCATGGCATGGCCTTCATCAGCAACCTTAACTTCATGTACACTGGGCAAACAAAAATTTGTGTCTTATTGCTTTTTATTGCAATATTTTGCTTTATTGTGGTGGTCTGGGCCCAAAGCAATTATCTCCCAGATGTTCCTGTACATCAAAAACCTTAGAGCTGGCCCTTGGTAGTGGCACAGGGGTTAAAGACAGTACTATCAAGCTATCACCAGCCACTGCAGCACGAGTTTGATCCACGGCTGGCCAGGGAGCAACCCCCATGATGCAGCAGACCTCTCCTGCCTCACCTGCTGTTCCCCTCAGCAGTGTATTTCAATAGATCTGCCTGTTCTGCTCCCCACTCTGTCTCTGGTGAATCCTCTCACCACCCTCTAGCCTGTACCGAAGTTCTTGTATGCATAAATAAATAAATCTTTGAAAAAAAGAAAAAACAAACCTTAGAGCTGACAGTTTAGGCAGACCAATCTTGGAACACAGATTTCCTTACCCTATCACAGATTTATCAGAATTAAGATAACATTTGCAAGTGGGTTTTTTGTTGGACATTATAGTCACAAAATTTAAAAGATGAGATGAAAAGATCAAATTTTCAGCTATGTCTCCCAGCTGGCGAACTTTATCACCCAAATCTCAAAAGTCTGGAACTACTTGTTGTGGCAGAATTTTAAGATATTGCTGAGGTCCTCACTTCCTGCTGTCCATACTCTTTAAATCCCCCATCCTGGAGTGTGGACTACACCTCTGAATGTCACTCTTGCAATTAGATTACTCCACACAGCAAAGGTGAAGCTATCTTGTTGGTTATTTTATGTACCAAATAAGTTGATTTGAGTTCATAGGAGGAGGATTAAAATATTATTGTGATTATTACAGGTGGGCCTAGCTAAAGTCTTTGGAGGTCAGAGACTAGAAGCAGTGGAGAGATGTAATCCTGCTGACTTGAAAGGAGGACCCAGTCATGTCCACAAACTGCCTGTGGCAAGAGGCAGCCTCTAGAGCTAAGAGCCACAGTCATAGCACCATAAGGAGCTCAATTCTGCTAATTGCCTGGGTGAGTGTAGAAGAGGACTTTGAGCCCCTGATGAAATCCTGTCCTGGCTGACACCGATAAGACCTGAACAGAGAATCCAGCAACATTGCACCTGAACTGCAGGCCCACAGAAACTGAGATAATAAACAGGTGTTATTTTCATCTGCTAAGTTGGTAAAAATTTATTATGAAGATGAAGCAATCTTGTTAAAAATGTTTACCCTGTGATTATGATATGCCAATATAGGTTCATCAAGTGTAACTAAAGCAGCACACTGTGGGGGAGACTGATCGTGGAGGAGGGGGATGTTTATGTACTGGGGTAGCAGGTTAAGTGGGAAATCTCTGTACCTTTTGCTCATGTTGGCTGTGACTCTAAAATTGCTTTAAAAAGCAAAGTTCATTAAAAAACAATGTTTGGGGCCTCCCTGGTGGCGCAGGGGTTAAAGACAGGGCTATCAAGCTATCACCAGCCACTTCACACAAGTTCAATCCCCAGCCTGCCAGGGAGCAACCCACATGGTACAGCAGACCTGTCTGGTCCGCTGCTCCCCTCAGCAGTGTATTTTAATAGATCTGCCTGTTCTGCTTCCCCTCTTTCTGGTAAGTCCTCTGACCCTCTGAACCTCTGGCCTACCCCCCAGTTCTTGTATGCATAAATAAATAAATCTTTAAAAAAAAAATGTTTGCCTCGAATGTAATCAAGCCTTAAGACCAAGATCGGCATACTTTTCTGTTAAGGATTAGACTGTAAATCTTTTTGGCGTTGGGACCCCCTATTCACTGTCACTGTAGCAAAAAAATAACCACAGGCAATATGTAAATGAGTGGGCATGGTCATGTGCCAAGAAAACTTTACAAAAACAGACCTGCAGGCTGTGGTTTGTTACCTTGAGCTCTAGAATTTAAGAGGCTAAGAGACAACCAAATGCAGTGCATGAGCAAATCTTGATTGCTTCCTAGTTTGAAAGAAATAGCTATAAAAGTTGCTATAGGAATTAAGAAAAGAAGGATGTGTATTAAAAGATATTAAATAACAATTGTTACTTTTCGTGTGTGTGTGTGTGTGTGTGTGTGTGTGTGTGTGTGTGTGGCTCTATAGAATGACCTGATTCCTAAAAGATGCCTGCTAGTGTGAAATGTGTTGATGTTCCCAGGACTGGAGCAAGGTGAGGTGAGTGACACAATTTCATGCAAGTTCAAGGTCTCCATCATTATTTAAAACACTGATATTTTGTTCATCATACATTTTTTACCCATTTTGATTTTTTAAAATATGGTTTTCTAAAACATTGTTCCTCTTGATTGCTGAGATTTTTGGTGCCCCCTTCAACTTTGTGCCTGAGCTGAGTGTCTCATCCTGGGTTTTGGACCTCACTTTTTTTTTTTTTAACATTTATTTATTTATGCATACAAGAATTGGGGTACAGACCAGAGGTGCAGGGGGCTGAGAGGATTCACCAAATACTGAGGGGGGAGCAGAACAGGCAGATCTACTGAAATATACTGCTGAGGGAAGCAGTGGGTGAGACAGGAGAGGTCTGCTGTCCCATGTGGGTTGCTCCCTGGCCAGCCGGGGATCAAACTCCTGCTGCAGAGGTGCAGATTGCTTCGCAGTGCTGTGCTTAAACTCTTTTTTTTTTTTCTTAATATTTTTTTTTTATAGAGGCATGTTTTATTTATTTATTTATTTGTTTATTTGTTTTTTTTTGTTTGTTTATACAAGCACTGGGTACAGTCAGAAGCACGGGAGGGTGAGAGAATTCACCAGAGCCAGAGTGGGGAGCAGAGCAGGCAGAAGGACTGAAGTACACTGCTGAGGGGAGCAGCGGGCGGCAGGAGAGGTCTGCGCGCCATGTGGGACCCTCCTCCAGTGGCCGGGGAGCAGCCGGGGATCGAACCGGCGCCGCAGAGGCCACGGGCAGCTTCACAACCCAGCGCTCAACCGCTGCCCACCGGGGAGGCCCCTGTGCTTAAACTCTTGCGCCACCAGGGATGCCCTGGGCCTCACTTTAAAATGGTTCAGCCAGAGATGGACAGTGACAGTGCATTTGTTAAATCTTGATGGTGAGGAAATGCAAGTCCATGTCCTCCTAGTGCAACTCTGCTGTAAGTTTGAATGTTTTCAGATTAAATAAATAAGTGGAACATGTCTGGGTTTTTAAAATAAATAACCAAATATAGATTGTGAAAGTTCTCAAAAATTTACAACTATGTATGGTGATGATTGTTAACTAGACTTATGGCGACCATCTCTTAATAGTGTACCAACTCATTTTAGTGTGCTTCACTTAATGCACTTCATGGTGCTTTTTTTTTTTTTTTTTTCACTAATTTGAGTTTCATGACAGCCCTGTCTCCAGCAAGTCTATGGTGCATTGTTCCCACTGTATTGCTCACTTCTTGTCTCTGCATCACATTTAATTAAGGCATGCACATTGTTTGTAGACATAATGCTGTTGCATGCCTCATAGACTACTGTGTAGTGTGAACCAGGAAACCAAAACTTTTGTGTTACTCGCATATTCGACATTAGCTTTATTGCAGTGTGGAACGGAACCTGCTATACCTCCAAGGTGTGCCTGTATATCGAATTAATTTTATACATCTGAAAATAATATAATGTTATTTGTATCAATTATATCTCATTTTAAAAGTCGCTTGAATTTAACACAAATTGATTCTTGCTGCGGCTGTAGATGCCAATTGTAGAGACTTCTAGTTTTTTTTAGTATTTTTAGTAGTCCAGGAATACTTATTAAATGTGCTCCCCTTTTTAATTTTATTGAAGTACTGGGGGTTTACATAGTTGATAATCCTTTGTAAGTATAGGATCTCCCCCTCGGGTGCATCAGCATATTGCCCACCACCAAATCACTCATAATCACCCATCTGCTACCTTAGTCATTGTGTTCTCTCTGCCACTTTGTTCTCGAACCTCCCCCCACACTTTAGTTCTATGGTCAGCTTTCACGCATTCCCCCTTCACTCTAAAATGGGTGCTAGTTTGAAAGATGTGTTATGTGGTCTTGTCTAGCTGGAAGAGAACCAAGTGTGGATGGCCAAGACCATGCTCCCATCCTGTCCCTGGCTTGGAGACTTTATGCAAGTCACTCCTCCTCAAAGCAGTGCTTGTAAAACATTCACAGCCACTAAGCTTTCTAAAATGAAAACACACTACGGAGACCTCAATTTAAGCAATGAATCAGAGTAACATTTTATTAGTAACCATGCCCTTCCTGTGTTCACATAAATGTTTACGTACAAAGCAATTGATTCTCACTGAGGATGTGGAGATGAACGCACTTTTTAACTCTAAAATTGTACATGAAATCTTACTCAGTCGCAACATCCACTTTATTTCTGCATTGGGTAAGCCCCTGATTTATAGAGAAGTGGCAGCAAAGAATGGCTAGTTTTTCAGGAGCTCCTCTCAAAATCTAAGTTAAGTGGCAATGGCAGGCGAATCCTTAGTTATTTCCAACACCTTAAAACCTGCTGCCCAATGAATGCACCTGAGCATGCATCTTAGCTACAGTTGAAAATATTTTTAATGGAATTTTTTAATGCTAACATATACAGAACTGTCAAAGCCCTCCTTGGAACCCAGGTTTGAGAAATGACTGAGATAGTCAATAGGGTCATGTCCACTCAAAAGCCTCTGTTCTAAGATTGCTTTTTCTGAATTCTGGAATCCAATGGAGGGGAGAAAGAATAGCACCTTGAAGGGTTGGACTCTCCTACCGTTATAGCAAAAGCCCTTGAAGCGATTGGGGCTTTTAGAAAGCCATGGGCAAAGAAGAAATATCCACCTAAGCAGAATGGAAATAATTTGAATGTCGGACTTGCAAGAATCAAAGATGGCCCAAAAGCACAGCAGAGAGATACTGGCAGCTGGCTCCAACTGCTTCCAAAAACCGTCCAGTTTTTAAGGTAAAAGGGCATTGTTATCCTGAGAGACAAGGAGTAGGGGTGGAAGAGCTATAATATGTTTATTGTTTTTAATGCCAGCTTAGTCAGGAAGTCAGCTCATGAATCAGAGACACACAGGTCAAATATGCTATAGATGTAAATTTGAGCCAATTGCCTTTAAATTCAATTTAGAAATGGAAATATTTCCCATAAAATATTTTACATAAAATGGATTTCTGGCTTTGCTTGCAACCACAGGAAGTTCCCATAACAATGGACTGGATTGCCCGTGGTAGTTCTGGCAAGAGTCAGGGTACCCATGCCACTCAAGACACTCAGGTCACATGTCCCCTACATTCTCATCATCTCTGTTACTCTTTGCTGTTCACTGTGGTGTAACCATAGAGGACACTCACAAGTTGCTATGGACACTTGAGCGTACAGCTGTGGGAAAGATATTCATGTTTCCTGGACTAAAGATGGAGTGAGGTGGTCCAACAAAGATTGGGACAGGAAGGTTCAGGCGCTTATTTTTCCCTCTGAGTTCTCCAAAGCTTTTGCACCTCTGAATAGTGACCATCAGTAACTCACAGCTACTTCTGCAAGGCTCTGCTAAAATGGGTGCAGAGGCCTAATACAAACTGAAATAAGGATCAGACTACAGTACTCAATGCTTTATAATCTGTAAAACTCTGTGATCCACATCTGTAGTTTGGTTGGTCTCACATCCCTCCACCCCCTTGGTTACTAGCACCCAACCTCACCCATGCTCAATCACATAGTTGGGTGGTGTTGACTGCATCCTCAGGCCCAGAGGACACCGGGTCAGGCTGGCCAACAATTCTCCCAGAGACAGTAATTGGTTCTGAAATAGGCATATGAGCCAATTGGGGCCAATAGAATTGGGGCCAGGAATCTGATGCCACTGTTGGGAAAGGGGAGCTCTCTTTCTATAGAACTTGAAGATGGCAGCATGGTGGCTGCCTTGTTGCTAGCTGAGAGGAGGAGGTGGCAGGTCTGTAAATGGAGCCATTAAAAGGCACAAAGACTGGAAAGATGGTGAAAAGCAAGGTCTGGGCTGCATAATCTGAGGCTTTGGGTCCACATATAAACCAGCACATACATGTTTTTTGTTTTAGTTAGATTAAATGAGGCAAACTCACTGAAGCCACATGCCCCTGCAGGGGGGTTCTATACCAGCAGGCAGACTTGTGAGCGTTTGTTAGATTTGGATTCATTTTCTTGAATGCTCCCTGATTCTGAGTCCTGGAGAGCTTCTGTACCAGCAGCAAGCTCTTCCTTCTGCCTGGATTTGACCATCCATACTGCCTTCTTGAAGTTCTTGAGAGGGTCCTGCTGCGAGACCCTTGCAGAAGGGCACTGGAAACGCTCACGGATGAGATAGCCATGTCTGGTGGGGGCAATGAAGCCATTGGAAGTTGGGATGATTCTATTCACCACTGCATGGACAAACTGGACAGCCAGCAGGGTGCCTGTGGGGGTGGAAAACAGGGTACAAATGAGGAAATGGGGATAGTAGAGAACAAATCTCACATGTTTGAGAGTTGACTGCATGGGGTCAAATCCCATGCCCTTGACAAGTTTAGGCAGACACAACCTCTCAGAGTCCCTCTTTTCTCATCTGCAAGATGGGAACAATAACAGATTGCACCTGCAGAGGAAAATCCTGAAAATGTGAAGATGTTATGCATGTCAGGTGCTTAGTATCAGTTTCAGTCCAGAATGCATTTGACAAATATTATTATTATTGGAGGAGGAGTAGGAAAAGAGGTTGTGAACTGACCCAGGGTGGGCTTTTAAGGCTACAATTCACAGATCTCAGCTTCTGAGCCATCTGGGACTTTTGTGAGACATCTTTGCTACACTGTATTAGTGATAATATATTTGATTAGAATGCATCTGATTACAATGTATTCAGCTACAACATATTTGGTTATTATGTATATGTAGTTACATGTGTTATGTATATGGATATATAATATTATGTAGTCTTATTGCAGTGTATTCTATTGTGTGTTTGATTACAATGTATTTGTTTATCATGTTTTTAATTATAATATTTTCAGCTTTAATATATATTCAATTCCAATGTATTTGATTACTGTTTTCAATTACAATGTATTTAATTATAATGTAGTGGACAACTATGTATTTGATTATAATGTATTCAATTACAACATATTTGAAACTACCTGATGTTCATTCAGTCACTCACATGCTTTGTGGCCTTGGAAGTTTCCCTTTACCTCTCTGAACTTCAATTTCTTCAGTCATCAAACAGAGATAACTATGGGAGGGCCCTACCCCTCTTTTGGGGTTCCTTTTCTATGGAAGATGACAAAGGTGAGTATGGGACCAGAAACACCACCTTCAAACCACAGTAAAAGTGCCTTTTACTCACTAGGTGAGTTTAGCAAGTCACCCCATCTCTCAGATTCTCAGTTTTTACTCAGCTGATACTTCTAAACTCCATGTGCACCACCCCATGGCTATGGCCACCCTCAGAACCTCTGAACATCTGTAGGCACAATAGGGGCTCACAGTACACTCTCACTAGGATGGATCTGAAGAAGAAGCCCACTTAGGCCCTAAAGAGGGCTCAAGGACCAGTGGAAAGGATATTCTGGAGTTCCGGGTACCCACAGCGTTTGTCCAGAAGAGGAGGTAGACCTGTCCCATGGGCCTTAAGACACCTCCTAAGATGGATGGAACCCAACAATGAAGACCACAGTAGGGTCCCCCTAATGCTCAGAACCCCAGAATAAACCCTTCTTCTCTGGATCTAGGCTCAATCATTCCCTCAAAGCAAAACAACTCACCATCCAACACACTCCAGACGATTATAGAACGATCCTTTAAGCCAGCAAACACATACTTGTCATCCTTGGAGAAGCAAGCACATTGGACTCCTCTACAGTAAGAACTCTGTCAAAAAAGACAACATCATCTTGATTTTGGACTGACACTCTGGAAATCAGCCCCTAGCCATCTTGCAGGAAGCAAGGCTTGTAAGCACCCCACAGGGGATAGATGGAATTAAACCTGGGCAGATGGGTCTCTGTGATATCCTAGGATCAAAACACATCTTTGCAGATATTAGATTGAGGACTTAGTGACATTTTGCATCAGAGGGCTGGAATTCTAGGATTTAATTTCTTAAATGACCTTGGTTATGTGAGTACTCACTATAATTGTATTTAATTAAAAGCTATGTGCTAAATGCAACATGGGATACTGAAATGGATCCTAGAACAGAAAAAGGGAATTCATCGAAAAACTGGATACAATCCCATAAAGTCAATAGGCTAGGTAATAATTGTTCTCACATTAATTTCTTAGTTTTGATAAACATGCTCTAGTTACATAAGAAGTTAACATTAGGGGCAGCTGGGTGAGAGGTATTTGGGAGCTCTCTAATATCTTGCAACTTTTCTGCAAATCTGAAATCATTTAAAAAATTAAGTGTGCTTAAAAACAAATACCAAAAAACTAGATCTATTTCCCTGCTGTGGTGACATTTTCCATCTCAACTAAACAAAAGTTTACTTATAGCTTACGCTTCTAGTGACTTCATAAAAATAAATAAGTTAAGTGGGGCAAAGTCCTTTTGAGATGAAACTATACATATTCCCTCTTCTTTTAGTTACAAGATAGTCTCCCTATGTTAACTAACAATTTTCACTCTTGCAACCTAAAGTACAAGCTTTATTGCCTATCTGAAAAACTGAATAACATCAACCTAACAATATTTGTTGTGAAGATTAAATTATACGAAGATATATTAATTTGTGTACTTTATATACTCTGTAATAGGAATGTATAACTATCTATATATCATAATAGCTTCTTACAAGATGATAGGTGTGGACTCTAAGACATTTTGTAAGTAAAGGAGTTGCAAGTTTCCCTCTTCAGATTTGTCACATTTGTCATGCTATTTCGGACACAAGAAAAGCCCAAGCTCTTATTTTTCACTTGGAGTGATAATGGGAAAGGCCAAGAATCAAGCTCTAAAACCACTATCTGTGTAATTCTATTTAGCCTCTTTTTTGGCATTAACTTTGTTTTATTATATATTTGGCTGTATTCACTTTGTGTCCTTCCAAAAATGTGTACAAACTATGCTTTTAATGTTGGCCTCCAAGTTTTTTATAAGAAATTTTTGTATTAACTTGGAAAAAACAACAGCTGCTGTTCCTTCTGCCTAAAATGCTGTTCCACCTGACTTATTCAACCTTTTTCAGTAGCAACTCTTGCTACTCCATCCTTTGACCTTGCCCTATTTTTCTTCAAAGCCTTCTGCTTCACAACCCATCATATATTTGCTGCTTTGCTTTTATTTCACAGTTTATCAAATACTAAGGATTTTCAGGGGCTACCTCAGTGAGAAAACACAAACAAGTCCTGCCCTCACATTGCCCAGTGTCTCGCCCATGAGAACGTGACTCTGAGAGATTGGAGGGTGTCTACCCTGGCCACAGCTACTTCCTCGGCACTAGGAAGGGTCAGCAGAGGTTGTGCAATCAAATTATTGGGTGTAAGAATGGCACATGCCAAATTAAGATGAGGAAAGTGAGGTTGCGCCAGCACAGGATTTGATCTTGCCTTTGAACAGGGGTATCTTGTTCTTCCTGGATCTTTTGCATTCATTTTGATCTTTTTAAACATTGCATTAAAATGGTATTTCTCTCACTTGCCAAGTTTGGGGTCACTGCTTAAATTCTGTTTTCAAGGTGAACATCACTGGCCTCATCCTAGTCCCCACCGCAGTGAACGGACATGGTGTACACTTAATGAGGGATGCCTGTGTCACTTTTCTGACACCAGGCCCCAGCACGCATGGTGTGTGGTGGGCCACGTACCGTGTAGCTCATCTCAAATTTCCACTTGCATTCCTGCAGGTTCCAGAGACAAAGTAGTGCTTCCTCAGATCCGCTGACTGCCAGCTGCTCTTTGTGGCTAACCTCCACGCAGGTGACTCGGCTCCTGTGGGCCTCCAGAGGGAACACTTTGGAATTCACACACTCATAGAGGAAGAGGTCACCGTTGGTCATGCCATAAACCACTCGGTAGTCAACCAGGACAGACACACTAGATATGGTCTCAGGCAGCTGGGTATAGAAGGTGTAAGTTGGCCCATCAATGACTGGACAGGGGTCCCCAGGACTGATGTCCAGCACCAGGACAATGTTGTCATAAGCAATAACCAGGCGTTCTTCACCCTTGCTCAGCGCCATGCAGTTGACGGCCTTCCGGGCTTCTGGAGGGGGGATGCACATCACATCCTGCCTAGAATTCAGAGGGAACACCAGGACGATCCCTGAAACAAGGCCAGTAAAGAGGAGCTTGGCCTGCTCAGCCACCTCCAAACACCTGACCTCATTGGAGGTGTCCAGAGCGTCTTGTTCCTCACCTGTCACAGAGAGAAGACCATATCAAGAATGGGTCAGAGGAATGCTCTAGCCATGTTTCCTATTTTTAAGGATTTTTAAAACATGTTTTCATTATTCACAATCTTGAACTTGGTATCCACAAGTTTCCAGACTTCCTCTCTTGCCCCCAACCTCCAAGCTTTTAAAATGATAATTGAATCATCTCACTGCCCTGCCTAACCATTCTCCATGACTTCCCACTCCTTTCTGACAAACACCCATGCCTTTCCATGTGACTTGAGGCCACATGTGACTTTTCAGACCTCATCCCAAGTGTTCCTTTTCCAAAGTTCTAAACAGGGCCAGAGAGCAAATATTCTTGCTTTGCAGGCTATAGGTTCTCTTTGCAACCAATTAATCCTGACTTTATAGCCCCAAAGCAGGCACAGACAATGGCTTTAGGTAGTTTTACTGCAAATATATTTGCTGAGTAACTAATTGGTCATAAAACAATTCTGCCATAAAAGAGAAAAAAACAGATCACTTCTCAGCCTTTTGGCTAAAATCAAGTGTAAAAGGGAAAAAAGCAGAGGGAATTTCAAAAGTATATAATGAAACATGAAAAATTAATAAGAAAATATGAAATATTTGAATGCAAATATATTGCAAAAAGAACAAAACCTCTCAATACATTTATGTTGGGTCCCAGATCAGGGCTGCCCCAAGATATGCTAAAGTAGCAGCAGATTAATTATTTTGAATCAAAGAAACAGTGGTGGACTGAATAGCACCCTAAACCTCCCTTTTTCCTAAAAGCATTTTCTCTGATGCTCCTCCTGTCTGTGTGAAAGGAACCTCCCTGCATTCAGAACTGCAGAGATGCCTCATTGGCCACAACAAGGATGTCTGGTATGAACAAGCTCTGCTTAGCTCACTACATTAGTTGCCCAAACCAAAACTTTCAAGAGTTTCTTTGTTCTGTTCGTTCTTCACAAATTTATTGCCTCTTTGTTGAAAAGTTATACAATCTGGCTGTTTTAATCATTCACCAGGTTTCATACTAAGGACCTCCTTGCTCATGAAATTAAATTTGTCTTTTCTCTGGCTAACTATCTCATATCAATTTGTTATTGGGCCAAAGGAACCAAAAGCAGGGAGAGGGAGCCTTCCTTCCACACACAAATTTCCCCTACTTTTCCAGAAGTGTGTAGATTCCTGGCAATACTGCACAAAGAACTAATTTTCTTTTGTGGATTTTACCTTAGCACCTGTCCTGAGTCTTTCATTTGTTCACAGTATGACACATTAAAAATTTTTTTTTTGGTGACCTTATTCTAAGTGTGAAGGTTGAGAGTGTGAAGCCAGATAGAATGCTACTATATTAGAACATGATAGCACATCAGTTTGCTAAGAATTGGTTTCTCTATTCTTTTGTCAGTGGAGAAATGAAATCAAGCTGTCAACTACTTAGTTCATTTATCTTAGAGCAATTATTTATGCAGCAAAAGTACTAGTAAACAGTGGTGAAACTGCCCACTAGACATGACAGACAATATGTTAGCAAATGGCTATGTCTGGTTTGGGCCTAAAGACTGTAGTTTGCAACTCCTATCTCCTGCCCCACCACAAATGTCTGGCTTGCTCTCTGTCAACCCCAAGAGTCCAGATGCAGCTGGCATCTAACAAATATTGGCCAACTCAGTGTATCCACAAACTTGAGAGTGAATTTTCCTTCTCACTGTTTGATCATTAATAAGGAATTCAATACCTTCATTATTTCAGTGAGGATTGCAATAGATATTATCAGTGATGTGCCCAGATCCCCATTGCTGGCCATTCACCCCCACACATGGCTGCCCACTGCCCTTGGGTGAAGAGTGTCTTCCATCGGGAAATGTTGCCAAGGATAGTACCAGAACAAATGCATGTCTGACCAGGTAATACAAAAGGCTAGTGCCCCTGCTTCATGAGGGGATCCTCTGAGATGAAATTCATATCTAGGGCTCCCTTCAGGATCAGATTGAAGCTACCTCTTTGGTGGGTATCTCCCTGGCCAGTTGGAAATTGAACCCATGCTGCAGAGGCTTCAGACAGCTTCACAGCGCTGCACTCAACCTGCTGTACCACCAGGGAGGGCCTATAAGCATGGTCTTTTGTGAGGGTAGGAATTGAAACCCATCTTGGCTTATTCAGGCTGTTGTAACAAAAGACCATAGCTGGGGCAGCTTAACAGTCCTCCCCAACCCGTCTGCTTCCCCCACACCCCTCTTCAGGTCTCTCCTAGCAACTCACCTCAACAAGCCACACTTGCAAATATCCCTGTCTCAGATTTTGCTTGTAGGAATACTGGATTAAATCAGACAATGATAACAAGATTGTCCAGATTGTGCTGGAAATTGATAAAATTAAGTCCTGTTTCTATTTGTTATTTCCAACTGGGTTGGAATTATTGGGGTGTTATGAGCTGAATGCCCCCCCCATTCATATATTGAAGTTCTAACTCCCAAGGTGATGGTACTAGGTGAGGGCCTTTGGGATTTGGTCATGAGGGTAGGGTCCCTGTGATTGAATTACTGTCCCCAAAGAAAGATACACTAGAAAACTAGCTTCCTCTCAGTTCTTTGCCATTTGAGGAGATAATGAAAAGGCTGCAAATAACTGAGTGGCCCTCACCAGACACCCATCGTCCAGTGCCTTGATCTTGGACCTCCAATCCCCAGAACCATGAGAAATCGTTACCTGTTGTTAAGCTACCCCAGCTATCGTCTTTTGTTACAACAGCCTGAATAAGCCAAGATGGGTTTCAATTCTTACCCTCACAAAAGACCATGCTTATAGGGCCTCCCCGGTGGTGCAGTGGGTTAAGCACAGCGCTGTGAAGCTGTCCACAGCATCTGCAGCGCGGGTTCAATTCCTGGCTGGCCAGGGAGATACCCACATGGAGAGGCAGATCTCTCCTGTCTCGCCCGCTGCTCCCCTCAGCAGTGTTTTCAGTCCATTTGCCTGTTCTGCTCTCCACTCTCTCTGGTGAATTCTTGCACCCTCCGGCGCTCTGGCCTGTACCCCAGTTCTTGCATAAATAAAATAAATCTTTTTTTTAAAAAAGACCGTGCTTATATCTTACAAACCTTCCATCAAGTCCCAAATGGTAACTTTGTTTCTGTCTCCAATTTTGGGGAAGTACACATAGTTTCCATTATGAGACACAGCAGTGAGGCCAGTGCGGTCCAGAAATGGGGTAGAGGCTCCAGACTGCTGAGCATAGGTGAGGTCCCAGACCTTCAAAGATGACGACTGCTGGGAAGCAGAGGCAACCAGGGTCCCACCCTGGACCAGCAAGTTCACAGGTGCCCCAACACCTTCGAGGATGGCCAGCAGGGTTCCCTGCTCTGACAGACTCCACACCTGAGGATGGAAAGCAGAGTGGCAGGGTTCATGTTGATGTAGCTTGGAAACATGCTTTGGGCCATTTGTCCACCTACAGTGGCTTCTTAAGCTGTGGCTCAAGGGTCTTCCAACCTCCCCACCCCCTCAAGCTTCCCCACATCTCACTGATATACTACCACAGCAGTTCTTTTTTTTTTTTTTTTTTTAAAGATTTATTTATTTATTTATACAAGCACTGGGTACAGTCAGAAGTGCAGGAGGGTGAGAGAATTCACCAGAGCCAGAGTGGGGAACAGAATAGGCAGAAGGACCGAAGTACACTGCTGAGCAGAGCAGTGGGCGCGGCAGGAAAGGTCTGTTGCGCCATGTGGGAACCTCGCCAGTGGCCGGGGATTGAACTGGCGCTGCAGAGGCTGCAGGCAGCTTTGCAGGCCAGCACTCAACCGCTGCGCCAACAGGGGAGGCCCACAGCAGTTCTTAAAGTGTGTTTTAGGGAACCTCAAGGAGGGTTCCTCCAGGTCTTTGGAGGAGGGTGTTTTGCAAAAGCCAAAAGTATTCTTGTAATGATTAAGATGTAATTTGCCTTTTATACTCTCTTCCTCTCACAAGTGGGCACTGGAGTTTTCCAGATGGTAATTAACTATAGAAGAATGTGGAATTAAAGATGAGAATCCCTCTGTCTTCTATGGAGTCAGACAGGAAAAATTTACCAAAATATGAAATGACACATTTTCTTATGAGTTTCCTTATTTGTTTCAGGAAATAATTCTCATAGAAGTACGTTATTATGTCCACAGATACTGTTAATGAATTAATGGGAAAATACCTTGGGATTTTATCACCTCTAATTTTTATTTTTTTGTTTTTTTTTATAGATTTATTTATTTATACAAGAACTGGGGCACAGGCCAGATGTGCGGGAGGGTGAGAGGATTCACCAGAGACAGAGCGGGGACCAGAGCAGGCAGATGGACTGAAGAACTGCTGAAGGGAACAGAGGGCGAGACAGGAGAGGTCTGCTGTGCCATGTGGGCGTCTCCCTGGCTGGCTGGGAATGGAACCGGCGCTGCAGAGGCTGCAGACAGATTCACAGCGCTGCGCTTAACCCGCTGAGCCACCAGGGAGGCCCACCTCTAATTTTTAATATGGTAATTATCAATAGATTCTAAATGCCACGTCGGATCCTGGGTCGGATCCTGGAATCAAAAAGAAAAAAAGGACATTTGTGGGGAAGTTGGTGAAACTGAGAGATGAGTTCACAGTATTATTCAGTATTAATTTCTTGGTTTTGATAATTTGAAATGTTGATATTGGGGGAGGCCTGGTTAAGAGTAGATGTCTATATGGGGACTCTGTGCTCTCTTTGTTCTATAAATCCTAAAATTATTTGAAAATAAATCATTTGTTCAAAACATATAAATTCAAATTGCTTTGACCCACGTGAAGGAAAGAAAGTTCTCAGAGGGCCTCTTGAAAAATGTAAAGCATTAGGAGACCAGTATGTGATTGATCTGCTACTTATTTGCTATTTATCACATGCTTTGTCTTCAGCTGTCAAAACTTTGAGCTTAATGCTCCTCCCTCTCCCTTTGACCCTGAAGACCCAAACCCTCCCAGATGTTCCTGTTTGGTGGAAATAATGTTTCCTTCATTGAACACTTTGGTATGCCCCTCTCAAGCCTGCTGCTGGATCCCTGGAGACCCCTCCATTCTCCCAATGGGCCACCTCTCTTTACCTTCATTTGTTTTTGTATTATAAAGTCAAAGAGCCCTAAAGAATCGTACTTTCTGTTCTCGAGGTAGAGGTGAGGGTGATGCATTGCCCTCTCACCTGGATGAGTGCATCCCGGGAACCAGTCACAATCAGATTGTTGTCAGGACCAAAGACAGCCGTTTCCACCATGTCCTCATGTTCTAGGTCAGTGGCCATGAACCGATGAAACCCTTGCGAGTCTGCCAAGAATATCCGCACAGATTTTCCAAAGCCTGAAATGACAGGGACTGGGGTGACGCCCTTCATTCCTTGAGGAGCTTGAGAGTAATTCAGGTCAATAAAGAAAGAGTTTTCTGAGCACCTACTATGTGCCAGTGGTGAACAAGATAGACAGCCCCACCTTCACAGAGCCTACAGTTGGTGGCAGTGGTGGTGGGGTAACAGGCATCAATAATTTCACAAGACGGAGATTCCAGTCTGTTTGAATTTATCATGGTGTCCCAGAACCCAGCACAAAGTTGGGCACAGTCATGTATCACTTATGATGCTTTGGTCAACACTAGTCTAAAGTGTTCTTGAACCCTGGAAATGGCTTCATAAAACTCACACTGATTTTAGGGCAATGAAAATACCCTGCATGATACTATAGCAATGGATACACATCATTATACATTTATACAAAACCAGAGAATGTACAACACCAAAAATGAACCCTAATATAAACTGATTTGGGGAGACAGAGTGTCCATGGGGGTTTATCAATTATAACAAATGCACCATCCAGTGCTGGATGTTGATAGTGGGGGAGACTGTATATATGAGGGTGGGGAGCAGCAGTTACATGGAAAAATCTCCATACCTTCTGCTCAATTTGGTTGTGAACCTAGAATGGATCACCCCAAAATTCAGACTACACAGTATGTTGGTCACCTCTGTTGGCAAGATTTCCCTGATGGCTTTGACTAAGGAAGGGAACCCTGTCATATGCTACCATATCCCTTTATTCTTGTCTTATATGACCAGCCTCTCTATCTTGGGGCTAGCTAATTGTCCATCTTTCCTGCTAGACTGGTAACCCCCTGAAAGTGGGGGTTATGTAGGCTGACTTACTCTCAGTGCACTCAGACCTCTTCTATTTTGTGACTATACAGCAGAGAGAACTCCCATTTCAAAGATAACCAACCCAAAGCCCGAAAAGGCTAGGAAACTTGTCCAAAATCGGTTGGCAAACTATAATGCATGGACCAAAACTGACTGTCACTTACTTTTATATTGCCCATGTGCTAACACTAGTTCTTGCATTTTTAAGTGGTTGGAAAAAAATCAACATAAGATTATTATTGTACGATAGGTGAAAATTATATGAAGTTTATATTTCAGCACCCATAAAGAAAGCTGCACTGGCGCACAGACACACCCACCTTGGGGGAGGGGGTTTTCAAGTTACAAGGGTGGTGTTGAACTGACCTATCAGGTCTGCAAAATCAATGCTGCTTACTACTGGGCCCTTTGGAGACAGTTTGTAACCTTCTCTGGTCAAAGATGTCTCCTTTTCCAAGCCCTTCTCCACTTGTAACCAAATCCAGAGTTACCTCCTCATCACTCCCAAAAGAGCTCAATATTACCTGCAGCAAGAAGGGAGTCATCTTCAGAGACCACCAGGAACCCCACAGCTTCTGGAAGTTTCTCCAGCAGGCTGTCTCCTTCAGAGGAAACCTGTGCAGAGTCAAAAATGGCTGTCAAACATTTCCATGGGCTTAAGGGTTCAGGGTGAGGGGCCTGGATTTGCCACAGGGTTCTGCCAATCACTGACTCTGGGACACTAAGCAAACTTCCTAACCTTGGTGCCTCAGTTTCCTCACCTGTTAAGTGGGAGTCAATACCAGGATGATTTCATGGGGCTATAGTGCATGCACACTATAAAAGCAGCCCTCCCAAATTGGCAGTCGTTATTATCACTGTTGAAGGTGATGTAACTAACTCAGGGACTCTGGGAACATTCTAGCACCCACCCCCTAGAGGAGTTCTGGAGATCCCAAATAAGATGGAAATAGGTTGGAGCCAAAGAAGGGCACTCAGTTTACCCATCTGTAACAGAGATAATGGCAGCAGCTACATCTTAGCATTTTTTAAAATAATTTTTAAAATTTATTTATGTATACAAGAACTGGGGTGTAGGCCAGAAGTGCAAGGCGTGAGAGGATTCACCAGAGGCAGACTGGGGAGCAGAACAGGCGTGCTACTGAAATACAGTACTGAGGGGAGCAGTGGGCGAGTCAGGAGAGGTCTGTTGCGCCATGTGGGTCAGCTCCCTGGTCAGGGATCAAACTCATGCTGCAGTGGCTGCGCCACCAAGGAAGCCCCTTAGCATTTTTTTGAAAGTTAATAAGTTGGTGAATATAAAGTTCCTGGGATACAGTGAGAACTTTGTGAAACCTTGTTATGTCCATTAAAGCACCTCAAGCCCAGGGGTCAGTAAACTTTCCTAGTAAATTGTAAATGCTTTAAGCTTTGCATGCAGGCCACCTCAACTTTGCTGTTCTAGTGTAGCCATGGGTAGTATGAAAACAAGTGAGCCTGATTGTACCCCAATAAAACTTCATTGAACTTCCACATCATAAGATCTTACAATGTATTTATTTTCCAACCATTTTAAATCACAAAACCATTCTGGGATGGACAAAAACAGGCAGCAGGGCACAGACTGCTGCTGACTGCTGTTCAAGCCTATCTGATTTTTTAGAGCTACAGAGTTTCCCATAATAGAGAAGGTCTTTCATTCACTTAACCACTTCCTATGAAGAGACATTTAAGATCATGCTCTATTATTACATATTATAGCACTGCAGCAAATATTATCTAGTCTGGTCTTATTTTAAAAGAAGGGTATATTTCTGAAGGTACCTAAAACCTCTAGAACTATCTGAAGACCTCAGATACTATGAAATGTGTCTGAAGACCTCAGATACTATGAAATGTGTCAAATTTGAGTGGGATTTTCTCCTAGGACCAATAAAGGACAGTCAGTGTCTCTGCCTACCACTATGGTGCTCCACGTACACTCATGCAGACACAGTGTACCATTCACTGAGCAAAGTTTAAAATGTTTTTTTTTTTCATTTTTCCCTATTTCAAAGTTGCATATAAAATAAGACTGAATAATTTTACAATCATATTTCAAATTTGCCTACATCAAATTCACATCTGAGCACAGGTGCAAGAATTTGGAAGTCCCAGGACACAGGATTGCTGGATTTGAATGTAATGTAATTTTTTATCTTGATAGACAGTACAAGATTGTGTTCCCCAGGGCCTCCCCAATGTACTCCTATGAAGAAGGTAAAATAGTAGCTGAGAAATGGATCTTCTTTTCATAAAAATGTTCACTTTTATGTTCAAAATAAGAGCTCCATTACAAGCACTTTTCTGAACCAGTCAATTCCTGGGAGTTTTAAAAACATCAATATTTAGATAATAAAATAACTCTCCCATTCCTGGTAAAAAGCATCACTCCATGCATGAGTCAGTTTCAAAGTTTCAGAGAATTGCAATGAACAAAGGCAAGACACAGTAAGCTCTCTGGGCTCAGAGTGAGTGCCTTAGTCCAGAGATGGCACATGAAGTCTTATAGTTGTGCCTGAATTAGTATGTGTATGTTAATTTCTATTAGAGCAGGATGATGTCCTACTATATATCTTTAAATCTTTGTTGTAAGTTCATGTCATTTCAATACCAGACTCTTGACTGACATACCTACAACCTTCGTTTTGTGGTTTGCAGGTCTAATGGCTCCACAACTGCTCTTCCTGAGACCAGATAGTTCTAGAGGTTTTAGGTACCTCCTCATTCAGCCTTCTTGTCTTTGTTCTGACTTTTCTAGGACACAGATAACTTTGACTGTTCTCTTTCTCTTCTGTTTAACTTTTCAGGTGTGTGTCCTTTTTTCACTGGACTTCCATCCTATATTATATCCACATATCATTTAGTGATGGGGTTATATTGTAAGAACTGCATCATTAGGCAAAGCCATCCTTGTGTGAACATCATAGACTATAATCACATAATCCTAGGTGATTCAGCCACTGCACACCTAGCCTATCTGGAGACCTGTCATCTATATGGTCCACTGTTCATGGAAATGTCATGACATGACCGTATATCCCTTCTGCCTAAAGAACTGCTTTTTAGCAGTTCTAATAGTGCCAAGTAGTTGAAGACAAATTCACTCAGTTTTTTTTTTTTTGCCTAAAAATGTCTTTATTTTGTCTCTAATGTTGAAGGACAATTTTGAAATATCTGGATGTCTAGCTTGACAGGTTTTATTATTTTCTTTCCATCAATCCCATTGTCTTCTATCCTCATAATTTCTGCTAAGAAGTTAGCTGTAATTCTTACTAGGGACACCCACTGGAAGGAATGGGTCTGTTTTCTTCTGACAGCTTTAAATGTTTTTCTCTTTATCTTTGATTTTCAGCAGTTTGATTCCTATTGCCAAAATGAAGTTTTATTTCTTTTGGCCCTGCTGAGGGCTATATGAGCTTTTGGATCTGTGGGCTGTATCTTGCATAAATTTTGGAAAATTTTCTTCCATTTCCACTTCAAATATTTATTTTACTGCATTCTCTTTCTCTGCTTTCCTCCATAGATTCTAGTTGTACTTTTGATCATTTGGCAATGTTTCACGACTCTCAGATTCTCAGTTCTTTTTCCACTCATTTTTATTTTATTTTAAATTACATTTATATTGGATAATTTCCACTAATTTTGTCTTTAATTCACTGATCTTTCTCTAATGACTAATGCGCTCATAAGTGCATCAAATGAGTACTTCATTTCTGACATTCTTCTTTCTGTCTAGCATTGCCACTTGATCCTTCTCTCTAGCTTTATTTTGAAAAGTCCCCATCTGTTCACACATTATCCTAAATATTTGGAAGTTCTTTCTGGTCATATCAACATCTGAATCATTTGTGTGTTAACTTCTACCGATTGATTCACTCTGATTATGCTGCCACTTGCTTGCTTCTTTTGTGTGTCATCATTTTTGTGTTATATTGGACATTGTATGTAAAAGAACAGTAGAGTATAAAATAATATTTACCCTGAGAAAAGGACATGCTTTTTCTGTTGGACCTTTAGTGTAAAGTATTCCAAATCAATCTCTCTGTACTTCTGCTGGTTCTCATTTTGAGTTTGATTGTGTCTTTAGTTAAGTTTGTTTCACTACTGTCTTCCAATGTTTTGAGGGTGATATCAAGACTTTCCATGCAGCAGGGCTGAGATCTGATCACTGGTGAGATTCCAGAACCTCGTATCTCTTACAGCCTCGCCACCAGCTTTCCAAATCATGAGATTGCTATTTCTACTTTACAGCCCTTTGGGATGTTAAAGATTAGCTTCCAGGCCTGCCTGCAATTTTCTGCCCTGATATACATTTTGCCATGTGGTTTGGTTTCTTCCAGAAACATGCTGAAAATAGTATTTGAGTGCAAGAAGTTTACTTGGGAATTGATCTCAGGAAACACTGGTAGAGAGCACAGAATTGAGATAGGGAAAGAAAAGCATCCAGTAAATGTGACTCATCAAACCAGTAACCAGTGTGGGCATTGGGGAGCTCAGCTGCTGAAGCTGCTCTGAGACAGAATGTAGAATATGCATCAAGTTTCCCTATAGAAGGGCCAAAAACTGGGGTTCTATCCACCTGCTCTATGAGTGGTTGGGTAAGGGCTGCTTCTAGCAGCATTAACATGGGCTCTAAATGTGCTATGTGGAGGAAGGGGAGTCAGAAAAAAAAAAAAAAAAAACCAACTCAGGCACAGAGTTGCAGGTATACAGCTGTAGTGTTAGTGACTGACATCAAGATTTTGATTGCTGAAATATCTATTTCAAATATGCCCATCTTGAATAACACATCACCAGATGCATGAGACCACTACTAGTAAATTAACCAGATTAGGAATTAGACTGCACCCACCCCAGAAGTTCCTTCTTTCAGAAAGCCCTGGGTGACCTAGATAACTGACCACTTGAGTGACCCTGCTTCTCTTTTCCCATGCTCTAATTCCAGATCATATCTTTTAAATTTTCCAATAAAGAGTGGACCCCTGAAACCCTGGACAGCCCAACCTCAGATTCTAATACAGGCAGAGTGTCAGGTTCTTTCTTTCATAGCTCTCTCTCTCTCCAACTCCCCAAGACCTCACCATGTGGCTCTCAAGTGTGCTTGCATCTTCAGGAATTGAAAGTAATAAATATTGCTCCTAAAAGTTCCCTCATGGTTTCTTGTGAAGTGCATAGTGCAGTCATAATAAAAGCCACGAAAGCTGGTCCAGCCATAAATAGGGACCCAGTGAGTAATGTGAAAATGTCTCTGGAGCTCCTTGAGGGTGCTGTGTGCTTGGACCAACAGAAGAGCAACCTTCAGGAATAAAGAACATTGAGGAGACAGAGATGGGGCACCAAACATGGGTTATACAAGGAGAAAGAAGAATTGAACTAACATCATATTTCCACTTCACTTTTTTGTGATATCTGTGTGTCTCCAACCCCACAGGTTGGAAGCCAGGGCATGTCTGACCATCCCTTGTCCTGGTTCTGCATGTAGGTGCCATTCTCTCCTACCCATCTTACAAATGGGGAAACTGAGGCTCATGGAAAAGGCTAAAACAGCCCCCAAATACAGCCAATTAAAGGTAAGGGGGCTTTCCTGGCGGCGCAAGGGGTTAAGTCTCAGCATTATGAAGCTATCAGCAGCCATTGCAGCATGAGTTTGATCCCCGGCCAGGGAGCTACCCATATGGCACAATAGACCTCTCCTATCTCACCCGCTGCTCCCTCAGCAGTGTATTTCAGTAGATCCACCTGTTCTGCTCCCCACTCTGTCTCTGGTGGATCCTCTCACCCCACACACCTCTGGCCTGCACCCCAGCTCTTGTATGCATAAATAAATAAATCTTTATATATATATTTTATATATAAAATATATATAAAGGTAAGACTGGGATTTTCAAACTCAAGTGTGTCTGAACCCAAAGTTGAAGTTCTTTCTGGGTCTACTAAAGATAATCAGAGAATGAAAAAGGAGTGAAATTAAACAACTGAGAGACCCCATGACAGGAATGAGGTTATCTCTCATGTGTTGCTTACAGTGTAGGCCAGAGAGTGAGAGTCTCAGGGAGGAGCCAAGGCCACAAGTTTCAGAAATATGGAGCTTTTGGATGAGTCTTTAGATGTTGTATTGCTCCCTTTTTCAAACCCACACCTTCTCGGCAGGGCTTACAAGACCCTCTGTGATCCATCTCATACTGCCTCTTGTTTCCCTGAAACACCAGGCATGCTCCTATTTCTCCCATGATATCCCATAGTCCCTTGATCTCCACTTTTTCCACCTTTAAAATCCTTCTTCCAAGCCTGCCTCCCCAGGAAGGTCTTCTCAGACCTTCTTTCAGAAGTATTTTCTTCTTCACCAAGAACACACTGCCTCTATCTCTATGGAAAACAGATTGCCTCTTAGTATGACCCTGTCTTTGACAAACCACCTCCCTTCCATAGGCTGGGCTCCTTGGGAGTGGATTTGGATTCTTGTACTCCTAGACCCCCTCCAGTGTCCACTGTGGCCTTTGTTTCTCCACCTATGAGTCCCTGTGTAATTCACCATTGGAGACCCACCTATATCCTCTCACCATTCTCATCTAATCCTGAAAGCTGCTGACCATGTGCCTGCAACTCCTAACCTGTGTTAATGTTTTTGTTGCTTCTGACCTTCTCCCTCATCCTACCAGGCCCTGTGTTAATGCTTATCCACCCAACTATCGATACAGTTATCCAACCAACCATTGATGGAACTGGTGGGTGGAACCCCAGCTCATGTCCTACAAGGGGACATCTCTGCAGTCTATTCTGAACTATCTCCCGGGGTGGAGGGTCAGAGGCATAGCAGGACCAAACTCCACAAATCACCTGCATTGACCAGACTCCAGGAGACCCTTAGATGTTTCTTGATGTGTGCTAAATTATAACTTTTTAGAATTAAGAAGCCAAGAGTCATTTATTAAAAGATCAAACTGGAGAAGATCTCTCCCAACTTATAAGCACCCTTATCTGGGTGCTTTTGGACTGAGTTGATGTCAGCATTATATACAGTAAAGTTGCTTACCAAAGAGATGGAGCCCTGGCTGAATCCAGTAACCATCTTTCCCTGTTTCTGGATAGAGACCCCACAGGTAGGTGCTTCTTCTTTGATGCTGGACAAATGTTGCTTGCCCTGCAGCTTTCCTGTGGTGGAGTTCCACATACTGACCACACCAGCCTCAGACACTGTCAGCAGCATGGCCCTGGAAGCCAAGGCTGCCATGCACATCCAGGGATCGGTAACATCTCCCAGGATACGGAAAACCAACTCTGCAGTTTCCAGATTCCATGCATTGATCTAAAGGAATGATGACCAGGAAGAGACACATCAGTGGGCAAATTAGATGGTAAGCATTGCAGAGCTGAATGCAAGCCCTGTTCTTGTTTTATAATTCACACATTTATTTTCAAGGCTCTACCAGTTAAAAAAAATAAAGGAGTGGTGCAGGGGTCCTGAATTGTATCCTGGGATACCAAAAAGGACATTTGTCGAGAAATTGATGATTCCAAATAAATTCTGGAGTTAGGCTGATAGAAACTATCACTATCAATGCACCCTGGGTATGTAGATGTTGACACTGAAGAGGCTGGACCAAGACCATATGGGAACTCTTCATAGTATCTTTATAACTTTTCCATATGTCTAACATTGTCCAGAATAAGAAGTTTTTAAAAATGAGGGAGAGGGTGGCCTTCCCTGGTGGCGCAGCGGTTGAGCGCTGGGTTGTGAAGCTGCCCACAACCTCTGCAGCGCCGGTTTGATCCCTGGCTGCCAGGTGAGGGTCCCACATGGCGCGCAGACCTCTCCTGCCGCCCGCTGCTCCCCTCAGCAGTGTACTTCATCAGTCTGCCTGCTCTGCCATCCGCTCTGACTCTGGAGAATTCTCTCACCCTCCCGTGCTTCTGACTGTACCCAGTGCTTGTATAAATAAATAAATCAATTAAAAAAAAGAGGAAGGGGGAAGTACATGCCAAATACATTCACATATATGCCCAAGTAATTTTTTTTAAATAGTTTTTTTTTTTATAGAGGCATGTTTTTATTTATTTATTTATTATATTTGTTTGTTTGTTCTGTTTATACATGCACTGGGTACAGTCAGAAGAGCGGGAGGGTGAAAGAATTCACCAGAGCCAGAGTGGGGAGCAGAGCAGGCAGAAGGACCGAAGTACACTGTTGAGGGGAGCAGCGGGCGGCAGGAGAGGTCTGCGCGCCATGTGGGACCCTCCTCCAGTGGCCGGGGAGCAGCCGGGGATCGAACCGGCGCTGCAGAGGCCGCGGGCAGCTTCGCAACCCAGCGCTCAACCGCTGCGCCACTGGGGAGGCCCTGCCCAAGTAATTATTGATTAAAATAGGTTTTACCAAAAAAGTAAACCTCTTTTTATTGGCAATAACCATTTAGCTAGTAAATATTTGCCCATTAATTCTACTTCTGGGGTTTACACTAAAGAAATACGGAGAGATATACAGTTAAACACATACACATATGCAGCTGATCCTTGAGCCATATGGTTTTGAACTGCACAGATCCACCTGTATGTGGATTTTCTTTTAAAGAGACAACATTAACGTATGGTGTGGTTAAACACAGTACTCTAAATGTATTTTCTGTTCTTTATGTCTTTCTTTTTTTTGTTAAAGGTTTATTTATTTATACAAGAATTGGGGTACAAGCCAGAGGCACAGGATGGTGAGAGAATTCACCAGAGACAGAGTGAGGAGCAGAACAGGCAGACAACCAAAAACACCACTGAGGGGAGCAGCAGGCAAGAGAGGAGAGGTCTGCCGTGCCATGTGAGTAGCTCCCTGGCCGGCCAGGAATCGAACCCACACTGCAGAGGCTGCAGACAGCTCCACAGCGCTGTGCTCAACCCGCTGTGCCAACAGGGAAGCCTCTTTAAGATTTCTTAATAACATTTTCTTTTCTCTAGTTTACTCCATTGTAAAAGTATAGTATGTAATAACACCTAACATACGAAATATAATGCATATGACAGTGTTAATTGACTGATCATGCTATTGGCAAGGTTTCTGGTCAACAGTAAGCTATTCGTAGTTAAGTTTTGGGGAAGTCAAAAGCTGTCCATCATTTAAACATCTTATTTCAGTGATTAAAAAGCACAAAGAGGGCCTCCCCTGGTGGCTGCCCTCAGCCTCTGCAGCGCCGGTTCGTTCCCGGCCGCCGGAGAGGGTCCCACAAAAAAAAAAAAAAATTAAAATAAAATAAAGCACAAAGAATTGGAAATTCTTATTGGACAGCATATCTGTCCAATAATAAGGATTACTTAAATAAGCTGTAGTGGCACCAGGCAATAGAATTTAAGAAAACAGTAAGCAGGCTGATTTTGAAGAATGCTTATATGGTTATAGGCAAATGTTCTTGACATGTTAAGTGGGGAAAATTGTTTCATAAAATGAATGTACGATTTTACCTGTGGTTTTACCCAGTAAAATCATATAAATGTTAATGGTGATTACCTTTGGAATTGTTTATTACTTCTTTCTGTATCTTGCAAACTTTTGCTAATAAAAAAGATGATGTCCACAATCAATTTTGAAATCAATCAACACATTAGTAATGTTTAAAATGTGTCCAGGGGTTAAGACACAGCCTATGAAGCTGTCTGCAGCCACTGAAGCACAAGTTCGATCCCTGGCCAGGGAGCAACCCACATGGCGCGACAGACCTCTCCTGACTTGCCCGCTGCTCAACCCAGCAGTGTATTTCAGTCAGTCTGCCTGTTCTGTTCCCCACTCTGTCTCTGGTGAATCCTCTCACCCCCACACCTCTGGCCTGTACCCCAGTTCTTGTTTGCATAAATAAATAAATCTTTAAAAAAAAAGTGTCCAGGTGCCTCCCTGACAGCCTCTGCAGCGCATCGATCCCTAGCCAGCCTTGGCGCTGCTCGCTTGGCACAGCAGACCTCTCCTGCCTCAACCACTGCTCCCCTTGGGAGTGTGTTTCAGTTGATCTGCCTGTTCTGCTTCCTGCTCTGTCTCTGGTGGGTCCTCACGCCCCCTGCACCTCTGGCCTGTACCCCAGTTCTTGTATGTATAAATGAATAGGTCTTTACGTAAATAAATAAACAAATAAATAGTGTCCAATTAAATTTAAATTTTACTATCTCTTAAAAAGTAAAAAGAAACAAGTGAAATGCATTTCAATAACATTTTAATCTACTATGTCCAAATGTTATCATTTCAACATGGGATAGACATAAAATCACTAGGGAAATATTTTACATTATTTTTATGATACTACATCTTTGAAATCTAGTGTTTGCTTTCTTCCTATGGCACATCTCAATTCAGAACAACCACATTTAGAGGTGTTGGTGGTATAGTGGTGAGCATAGCTGCCTTCCAGAATAACCACACTTGAAGTAGTCAGTAGCCATATATTACTGGTGAACCCCATTATTAAACAGCAGAGCTGATAAGCTACCAATTTTACTAGTGTTAATGGCCAATTATGAATGAAGTGTCTTAATTAATAGCTACTAAATTATTTGGCGCATAAAACATGCCAAGCCATGCTAGGTGTTTTGAGTCATTATCTCATGTGGTAGTTGTGGAACTGAGTCAGAGTGGTAAAATGATATGACCAAGATGACACAGCATGCAAGGAAGGAATCACTGGGGCAAATTCAGATTACAAATATACTCCCCAATGCCTTTAGTTATTAGTTTTAACCCATGATTCTATTTTGTGTCTCTATTCATAAAGTGAACAATTATAGGGTAAAGATTGACAGAATAGAATGACAACAGAATCTGTATCCTTTTCAGATATACATGGAGCATTTATCAAGAGAGACCATAAACCAAGTCTCAATGCATTTGAAAGGATTTAAATCAATTTAAATGGCATTAAATTAGGAAAAAGTAAATAACAGAAAGTTATCAGGGAACTTCTAAGGTATTTGGCAGCAAATAGAACACTTGTGAATAGCCCATGGACCAAAGAAGAAATCAGAAGGGAAATCTGAATATAAGTGAAAACATAGCATTTCCATAATTGTGCGATATAGGTAAAGCAGTACTCAAAGGGAAACTTTTAGCACTAAACCCATAATAATAATAAAAAAAAGGGTCTCAAATCTTAGGATCAGAATGAACTGTCGAGATTATCTTACCAACTATAAAGTTTGAAACCCCCTAGAGTACCTCTCAAGTGGTTGTGTACCCCTCTTTGTCCCTTTCCCCTTATCCGGGAGTCCCTCCTTATAGAAAAAGCATATAATGACTTTGTATGTGCTGGTCTCGGCTTTCTTTTGCAAACAGGGCATGTGTTAGTTACCTTTGAGCCAGAGGCTGAATACACAACCTTCATTTCTTCATCCACATGAAGACTCCAGATTTGAGGGTCAGTGGGATCTTTTGAGCCTCCATCCCAAATGACAAATTTCTCCTTCCCAGATAGTAAGTCCCACAAGCGCAAAGTGTGGTCTTTTGAGGCAGAGATGGCCTGAGTCCCTCTGGTAAACACTTTAACACATCTCACCTCTCCTGTAGTGGGATAGGAGGTAAGCGGAAAAAGAGATTCATCCTAGCATTATCCATATAGCAGATAACTAGAAATAGTCTCATAGTGAAAAAAATTAAAATAGTTTCAAAATTCTGGAACATCATCTATTGTGAAGATGAAATTATTTCTTCTTCTTTTTTTTATTTTTATATTCCCCATACAATTGCAACCTTCTGATTTTGATCCCAATCCCTCCTTTCCCCACTCCCTTCCCCTGCCCCCCAAAGTGTGTCTCTGGTTCATGGATGTTTGTTGATTTTGATTTTTTTCTTTCTTATAGTTATTCTTTTTCCTGGTCCCTTATTTAGGTTTTCTAGATTCCTGTTATGAGTGAGACCATCCAGTATTTTTCTTTTTCTTTCTGGCTTATTTCTCTGAGCATGATCCCTTCCAGCTCCATCCATGTGTTTAGAATTGCATGTGTTTAGAAGATGAAATTGCATGTGTTTAGAAGATGAAATTTTTTTTAAGATTTATTTTCATTCATTTATGCATAAAAGAACTGGGGTGTAGGCCAGAGGTATGGGGGGGTGAGAGGATTCACCAGAGACAGAGTGGGGAGCAGAACAGGTGGATCTACTGAAATACACTGCTGAGGAGAGCAGCGGGCGAGACAGGAGAGGTCTGCTGCGCCATGTTGGTTAGCTCCCTGGCCGGGGATCGAACTCATGCTGCAGTGGCTGCAGATAGCTTGATAGCGCTGAGACTTTTAACCCCCGCCCCACTAGAAAGGCTCCAAGATGAAATCATTTTGCTACATTTAAGCATCATGAATATGAAGATGTGATGGATCACAGCAATGTTATTCATTTTGGGAAGATGTAAATTCAAATTGGAAGCAATGTAAATGTCCTTCAAATAACATTGCAGTTTACATTTACATTGCATGTAAATGTTCTTCCATTGATGAATGGATAAACACACTGGTCCTCCCATATAATGGAATATGCCTCAGCAATTCAAGGAGGGGGGGAAACATTGATACATGCACAACACAGATGAACCTCAAACATATTATGTTGAATGAAAAAAGTCAGATGCAAAAAACAATTCCATTTATATGAAATGTCCTGAAAACAACATCAGAGGTTGTCAAGAGCTGGGGTGGGGTCAGGAATGGGCTCAAGCAAGAGGATACTCTTTGTGGTGATGGAAAGTTCTAAAATTATGGCAATGGTCTCACAACTTGGTAGATTTATTTAAAATCACAGAATTGTACATTTAAAACAAGTGAGAGTTGTTTAAAAAAATTCAACAGAAACAAAAAAAATGTTTATGACTGATACTGAGAAAAAGTAAAGCTGTGTATGTGCTTACTTGCAATGATAGAAAGGTTTTAGTATATTTACTGTGGTATAATTTACAGCATAAAATGCACCCATTCATGTACAATAGTATAATTCACTGATTTTTATGTGCTCCCAGAATTGTGCAGCCATCACTGCAGGCTACATTTAGAATATTTCCATAATCTGAAAATGCTATCACTTCTGCCTCCCCTCTCTCTATTGTTTTAACCATTTTAAAGTATGTAATACAGTGACACCTAGTACATTCACAATGTTGTACGACATCACCTCTATCTGATTCCAGAACATTCCATCACCCCTAATGGAGACCCCGTACCAGTCCCATTGGCAGTCATTCTTGCCTCCCTTCCCTCAGTCCCTGATGGCCACCCATTTGCTTCTGTCTATGGATTTGCCTGTTCTGGAAATTCATATAAACAGATCACACACCGTGCGGCCTTTGTGACTGGATTTTTTCATTTGATGCTATGTCCCTCCCTAGTTCCAGCCTCACGGAGCCTTTGCTGTTCTGTAAAAGGGTCATTCTCTGCCCCTCTAGGGCTTTTGCACCGGCTGCACTTGAAGTGCTCCTCTCACTCCTCCACCCTTTATAAGCTTCCTCTGTCACACTTGTGTCTGTGCTGTAATGACTCTGCTTGGAGGGTCATTTTGGGTCACTTTGGTGACTATCTATAGATCAGGACTCCCTGTTTCCTCATTATACTCATCACAGTACGTGGCCACATTTTTGTCCTGGCGCCTTGCCAAATATGTTAGTATGATTAACGTAAAATTTAAAAACACAAATGATTGCATTTTCCTGGTGCCTTTGGCTTGACACAGTTTTACCAAGCACCCTGTTTTTATTCAAGGTAGGTTGATATTTATTCATTGTGAGTTTTTTCTTTTTCTTTTATTTTTTAAAGATTTTTTTATTTATTTATGCAAGAACTGGGGTACAGGCCAGATGCACGGGAGGGTGAGAGAATTCACCAGAGACAGAGTGGGCAACAGAACAGGCAGACCGACAAAATACATTGCTGAGGGGAGTAGTGGGCGAGACAGGAGGGGTCTGCTGCACCAAGTTTTTCTGTTTTTGAATTTTTTTTTTTCATTTTTGAAAACATTGCATTGAAATACTTTTTCTCTTGATGACGGGATTTTTTTCTTTAAAAATTGAGGGATGTCGGGGCCTCCCCGGTGGCGCAGCGGTTGAGCGCTGGGTTGCGAAGCTGCCGGCGACCTCTGCGGCGCAGCGGTTCGATCCCCAGCTGCTCCCCGGCCACCGGAGGAGGGTCCCACATGGCGCGCAGACCTCTCCTGCCGCCCGCTGCTCCCCTCAGCAGTGTACTTCGCTCCCTCTGCCTGCTCTGCTCCCCGCTCTGGCTCTGGTGAATTCTCTCGCCCTCCCGCGCTTCTGACTGTACCCAGTGCATGTATAAACAAAACAAACAAACAAACAAATAAATAAATAAATAAAAACATGCCTCTATAAATAAAAAAAAAAAAATAAAAAAAAATAAAAATTGAGGGATGTCACTAGAATTTTGCACCCACAGCGTGTGCCTGGCTTTTCTAACCCTGCTCTTCTTATCTTCAGCACAGGGTAGGGTACACAGCAGGAACTCAATAATTGATTGAGTGTATGAACCATAGTGGTGTGGGGCTTTGAGGACCGGAAACTTTACTGTAGTGGACAAATTGCATAAATAACTATAATCCTTTTCCTCTCTGACATCTAAGTGGGGTTTTGCTTCTCCCAAGAATGAAACCCATTTCCTTTCCATTAATTCTGGACTGTTCTTATGTTTTCCTTTGGCTAACACGTGTGATAGGCCAGGGTGCCAGTTGCAAGGGCAGTTTCAGGCCTTGCCTTGGGCTTACCTCCTAGAGACCCTGCCTCTGCCCAAGGTAACCTGCTGGAGCACAAGAGATTGCATGGAGCAGAGCTGAGTTGTCTCCGTTAGAACATTTGAACCAACCAGCTCCCAAAAGCCCCAGTAACTGACCACAGATGCATGAGCAAGACCACTGAGACCAGAACTGCCCAAATGGCTGATCTACAGCAGGCAAGCTAAATAGCTATTGTTAGAAGCAATGTGATTTGTGGTTCTTTGTTACAAGGCTACAGTTGATTGATGCAGGAAAGAAGTCAAGGATAGAAAGAAATGAACTGGTGGGGAAGGGACTCTGGGGATGATCATTTGCTATAGTACGCAAGGAAGAGGTAGACAATCATCCCCCCCAGAACCTCACCTGTGTGTCCCGTTAGGATGTGGATCGCCTGCTGCTCTTCCATGTCCCATACAACCACCATGCCATCCTGAGTACCAACCACGAGCAGCCTCTCTTCCGTACTCCATGCTACTGTGGTGATACCTGCAGCCACACAGAGACAAGGGTGATGACATCAATTCCCATGTCTGAGTGCTCAGCCATAGGGTCCTCTGGTGGGCTCCCACTTCACAGATGAGGAAACTGAGGCACAGACAGATTCAGTTTCTTGTTCAGATCCACATACCTAGGAAATGGCAGAGCCAAGGATTTGAAGCCAGCACTGACAGATGCCAGATTCACAACTGGGCTGTGTTATTTATGTTGCTCCTAGGGACTAAACACATCCTGGCCATCAGTTCAGTGGTTCTCACCCAGGGGTGACACTGCTCCCCAGGGGACTGGGTCACAATGTCTGGGACAGTTTGGGGTTATCACGACTGTAGAACAGGGCATTACTGTGTCTGGAGACCAGGGATGCTGTTCACAGGACCATCCAGCCCCAAATGTCAGTAGTGTCAAGGCTGAGAACCCCATTCTGGTTGGCTAAGGCTCAGGAACACAGTCAGAGTCATGCATTGCTTGTGGATGTTTCAGTCCAGGAAGGCCCTCTTAGACTGCGGTGCCTAGAGCCCAGGCAGGCAGCACCATCCAATTTGTGTAATTACACTGTTTATCACCAAAGCAAAATGGCCCAAAGACACATCTCTCAGAACATATTCCAGTCATTAAGCAACACGACTGTATATTGGCTGTGAATGGGGACCCTGATTGACCTGAGACCCCCAAGAAAAAAATTTCTGCCAATAGCTTGTGGGAACACAGTTGAAGGTTCTCTGCTGGGTGGGTCCAGTTTGTTAACCTTCCCATGGGTCTCTCACCCACATCCATTCCAACCAGTTCAAGACCAAGAAGCAAGCACAGCTTCTTCACATGTCTCTTTGCTCTATGTGCCTCCTCTAGGTCTTCTCTTTGCTCTCCATGCTCCTTCCTTCCTTCTCCGGTCTCCTCTCCGGCCTTTTTTCCCCTCCCTGCTCAGCTCCACCTTCTTTTGGTGAGGCAGGGGATCTGGAATCTCCCCTTTTCCTGAGGGCCACCCTTCTATTATCTCCGTCCATGCTCAGACTATTACATGAGGGTGAAATGAACTATTTTACTGAAATCACTGCTATTTTGGCCTTTGTTACAGCATCTAAGAAATAGATACTTTTCCCTCCCTGTTAAATCAGATTTAGCCAGAGACTCCTTCTCATCACAGCATTCTAGAGATGTCCCTAATCAACTCCTCCATGTATTGTATGTTTCTTAGAATTCCTATTTTGGGAGCAGTGTGCCTTGAGACTGTGGCTTTCCCTATAAGGTCACGTGGTACAGAAATGGCCTAAGTCATAATAATTGACATTTTAATCACAAGAAAATTGTATTTAAAATGCTCATGACTAATGTGAGAGATTGCGGGTGGGCAGATAAGGATATGACTGGTGGAAGTGTATTGGTGGATAAGTGGATACATACGTGACTGGTTGAATGAGTGGGTGAGTGAATGGATAAATGGGAAATGGATGAATCAACTGATGTATGGTTGAGTTGATGAATGGCTGGGTATATGGCTGGGTGGAGGATAAGTGGATAGAAAGGGCAGATGGAGGAAATGGAAGTAAAATAGTATGGACATAGGTGTGGAAAGAATAACTAACAGAAATATGGATGACTAATGGGTGGGTAGAAGGAAGGAAGGAATGAATGATGAATAAATGACAGAAAAAGGAAGGAAAAAAGGAGGAAGGGAGGAGAAAGTGGATGGAAGGATAGATGAACAGAGGAGGAGGAGATTTGGGGTGGGTGGGTGGGCGGAGGGATGGATGGATGGATGGTGGAAGGACGGATGTCTGATGAATGTAGAGAATGAAACCCTCTTGTCCTCTGACATCTGGGTGTCCCAGAAATCTAGAAGCACCTCTCAGGGACAGTCAAGACTTATTAGTATGAACTGTAAATTGCAGAAACTATCTAGTGAGATGAACACTAAACCCCTAAAGGTGAGACCCCAGCAGGGCAGTCACATCCTCCCTGTCTGGCTCATTAGTGGTATTTACACTGTAATCTACAGTCCCGGGGGGGAAGAAGGGGGCAGAGAGAGCGAGACAGCATGAGACAGCAGGGGCAGGTCCTGATGGCACCCTTGGGGCCCCTCGACTGGCAGAGGGGAGCCCCAGAGACTCACTTGAGACACCTGCTGTCTGCTGTCCTTAGGCAAGAGTAGGCCTAGAAGGATATTTGCTGCTCAAAGACTCACCTTTGTGACAGCCAGTGAGAGTCGCCCGGAGAGGTCCCCCAGGAGGCTGCAGGAATCCTGCAAGGGGCACCAGCACAGGGTGTGGGCACAGCCGGAACCAGCTCTGGGCCTGCTGACACAGCTGTCCTACCAGGGCTGGGTGTGAGGTAGTGAAGAAATGGAGTCTGGCCAGGAGTTCTGTGTAAAGGATGCTTTTCTCTGCAACAGAGGGGACCAGGTCACGGGCAGGGGCACCACTGCAATGTGGAGTCCCCTCAAGTGTCCTCTCTGGCTTCCTTCTTGGACACCTTCCTTCACATGCACCAGGAGGTTCCCAGCCTCCAGGTATTTGTCCACACCATCGCCGCTGCTGGAAGTCTTTGCCACCCTCCCCTGTTCCTTTCCTTTCTCATGCCCATGGTCTCCGCTTTTAGCTCAAAGGTCACTTCTGCAACAAGCTTTCTCCAGCCCAACCCTCCAATCCCAGCTCCTCCCACAACTGGTATCTCAGGCACAGTTTGGCTTTCTTTGTGTGTTTATTTGATGGACATGTTTCCCCTGACTGCTCCAGACCTGGAGTTTCCCCCAGAACAGGGGTGGCACCTGTCTTGTCCATCGCTGGGTTCCTAGTGCCCAGGACATCAGACACCCAACTAGGATCAGAGAAACAGCAATCACTCAGCCCTTCACAGTTATTAAGTGTGCTCATGTCCAGTGCTGGCTGCAACAAAACAACCCAGGAGGCTTAATGCTACAAGAATTAATTCTCTCCCAGCTATGGAGGCCAGAGTCTTAAATCAAGATCTTGAAGGGCCACGATCCCTCAGGAGGCTCCAGGGGAGGGTTCTTCCTGCCTCTTCCAGCTTCTGGGAGCTCAGGCATCCTTGTTTCTTGTCCACTTGCCTCCAATCTCCCACGGCCTCAACTGCGTGAAGCAAGAGGGACCTGAAAAATCCTGTGGCTACTGACCCTTTACTTACTTCCTGCTGTGTAACTTACTTCTTGATATGTGGCCACCTCATGTCTGACCATGTACTAACTGCCAATGTAAACCCACTTGGAACCTTGTACCAACTAAAACTATACACACGTGTTAGCCTCGATGTCCCAGTTTCCATTTGTGCCACAACATGCATGTCTGTGTGTTTTCTGTTTTCTGTTTCAATCCTTCCTCTGCTTCCCTCTGCTATGGATACTTGTGATAGAAGCTAGGGCCGATATAGACCATCAGCAAAACTTCCTCATCTCAACACCCTTCATTTAATCCAATCTTTTGAAATACAAGACATTAGTCACGAGTTCTGGGGATTAGGAAGTAAATATGTCTTTCTGGGACCAGAGGAACCATCATTCTTATGCTAGGTTTATAAAGGGGGAAATTGAGGCAGAGAGGTTAAGCAACTTGCACAAGGTTACACAGCTAGGATCTGACCCCCAAAGCTTAATCCCAACACAGAATAAAGATTTGGGACACTGACAGTGGATAGTTCCTGCTGTCCTGTTGTTGGGGCCTGGGGCAGTGGCAACAATATCTTGTGCCTTGGTTTGCTGGTGGGTCAAATAGGGCAGGGCTAGTGGGGCACTCACCCATGGTCCTGGCCTTACCCCATTTGTATCATTTGCCATAGTGCAACATTTAACATAGTACCCACAAATTCAACCATCAAGATGTATGTTTTCATGCAATATTAAAAAAAAAATCAAAATTGCTGCCATCCAATCCATGGTGAGTCAAATATCATCCTTTTAAATAAAAGCAGAATAACAAAAAATGGCACCATCCAGAGTCATCCCGGAGACTATGGCGCCATCAGGGATTTGGATCACTTTGGCTAGAGGGTGGAAGTGCTGAAAAGTGCTGAGAGCCCATGTTGCCCTGCTATGCCCTCTGGTGGCGACATTTGTCACTGCATCGCCTCCTGATGAAACCACAGGTTGTGAAGGGATGCAGCAAAGAACATTCTGTGATTTGGATTTTCCAATCTTCCCATGAGCTGAGCAGTTGTGCCCAAGGCTATTTTCCTGGGAAATCACTTTCTACAAGATTTACAACTCCTGGTGAGCACAAGTGCAAGAGAAAGGCATAACTGTCCATGGGCACCAGTATCTTTCACGCGGGAGGGTTCTTAGACATATTTTGGTACAAAACTGTTCATTTGCAGAAATGGTTAGTCCAAGGCCATTCAGGTAAACAATATGGATACTATCATGTGACAGTCCAGGACCCTCAGGTGGCATCATGGGGACAGGTTATGCATGAATTGATTCACATCTCTGCCTGAAGCCAGTGCCCCCCATTGTTAGGGGAAGGGGGAGGTGGTATGGGAGTTGCAAGGTCTGGTCTGCATGGTAGGGTTAGAAATTTTTCAGGGAGCCAGGAGATGATGCTCCCTACCTTCATGGAGCTCAGAGTCTGGTGCTGCAGACAGAAGGCATAAAAGAAAATCAGCAGAAATGATAAATAAAAGCTAAGGCAGATGGAACAGGGTGTGGAGTCGGAAAATGCAGAGGCTGGGGTCAGGGCCATCCAGCTATACCAGGAGATGCTCCCCTGACAAGCAGCAGCTGGCTGAGCTCCCAGCCAGCATGGAAGGGACCTAGGGACTTAAGCACCTTTATAAAGCCTTTAATAAAAATCCTCAAATCAAAACCAGGTGGTAGTTGTGTGATAAAAATCATCCTGGCTGCCTCACGCCCATGGGGATGGTGGTTATTTTCTCTTTTATCAGATGATAGCAAGTGCTGGCAAGTATTCAGAAAAGCTGGAACCCTTGTACACTGCTGGTGGGAATGGAAAATGGTGCAATCACGATGGAAAACAGCCTGGGGAGTTCTCAAAAAGTTATACACATAATTACCAAATGATCCAGCCATTCCATTTCTGGGTACATATCTGAAAGAACTGAAAGCAAGGATTTGAAAAGATTTGCCCACATCCACAGGAGCATTATGTAAAAATCATTATTTACAAAAGGTGGAAGCAGTCCAAGTGTCCATGGAGAATGAACGAGCAAAATGTGGTGAATACACATACTGGAATATCACGCAGTCTTTAAAAAGGAAGGAAATTTACTGACACAGCCTATAACATGGGTGAACCTTGAGGACACTGTGCTGAGTGAAATAAGCCAGACACAAGGCCAGATGTTGCGTGACCCCACTCCCATGAGCGGCCTGGAGGAGTGAGAATCTTAGAGGCAGAAAGGAGGAGGGGGGTGGCAGGAACTGGGGAATTGAAGGAGGAGTTTTGTGTTTAATGGGGACAGGGTTTCATCTGGGAAGCTGCAAATGGAGGGTGGTGACAATGGTTGTACAACAACGTAAATGCGTTAAGGCCACCAAACTGGACACTTACACCAAACTAGTTAAGATGGTAAGTGTTAAGCTCGGTGTATTTTACTACCTTCAAAACAAAACAAAAACAAACAAAATACCATCCTGGCCTGAGTATCAGCTTCCAGCTCTGGGGCAGACAATGGGGCAAGCCCAGCCAGCGACCTGCCCTGAGAGCTAAGCTGGTTTTTCAGATCAATGAATAGGGTGATGGGAAATACCAGCATCGAACCCAATTTAGCAAAATGTATTTCCAGAACAAGAATTCCCTCTCTTCTAGTAGATTGAGATTAGTACCCAAAAAGTTGTGCTTAATTATTATCACTATATTTTCAAGTTCACCGTTTAAAAAACCCAAGGGAACTTTTTTTCTCACTTGTTTATTATTTTTTTTAATAGAGGCATGTTTATTTTATTTATTTATTTATTTTGTTTGTTTGTTTTGTTTACACATGCACTGGGTACAGCCAGAAGCACGGGAGGGTGAGAGAACTCACCAGAGCCAGAGCGGGGAGCAGAGCAGGCAGAAGGACCGGAGTACACTGCTGAGGGGAGTAGCGGGCGGCAGGAGAGGTCTGCGCGCCATGTGGGACCCTCCTCCGGTGGCCGGGGAGCAGCCGGAGATCGAACCAGCGCCGTAGAGGCTGCGGGCAGGTTCGCAACCCAGCGCTCAACCGCTGCGCCACCGGGGAGGCCCATCTCTCACTTGTTTATTAAGTATCAACATAATTTCTTTGATTTGGCCTGAAATCTCTCCCATCTGGTCATTTCTGACATGGGTTTGAGTGGGTGGATATTGCTTTGGTAGTTTTCACTTCAAAGCTCTTCCAGGTTTAAAACAAAATTCTAGGAACTGGAGCTGAGGGAAACCCCACAGGTATATAGACAGGAGAGGTATGTGGGTTCATGGCAATCCAGCCAGAGGCTTTTAGGAACCAGTGCCCAGTGCCCTCCCACTGCTGCCAAGTTGGCGACTCACCCATGCCTCGGAGTTCCACAGCAGGGCGGCACAACTGGAGGGCCTCTCGGACCAGGCTGACTTCCGGACAGTCCACGTGAGGGGCACACAGGTCAAAGTCATCCAACAGACCTTCGATACCGCCAGAGACACCGCGGCAGGAGATCCAGTTCATACTCCCTGTTGGGAGAAAGAAAGCAGTGAGGAGCCTGGGGGGCAGTTGCTAGCTCTCCAACTCTCAATGGGTTCTCACTCAACAATTCTGACATTGGACTCCAGACCATTCTCTGGGGGTGGGATTATCTTGGGCAATGTGGGTGTTAAAAAGCATCTCTTGTCTCCACCCGCCAGATGCTAGTAGCATCCCCTAAGTCTTAATCATCAAAAACATAAGCACTGAAAGTGTTGGGGGTGGGGAGCATAGGCACACCTGTTGAGAATCATGGGGATGAATAAGTGGCAGAGAAATTGACAGATGGATAAGTAAATATAAAGATAATAGATAGCTGTGTGGGAGAGAGACACATAGAAGGATAGATGGATAAACACATTGATAGAGAGACAGGGTTTTTCTCACACCAAGGAAGGGATTCTCATTCTCAGCACTACAACATGGGGTGGGATCATTCCCTGTGCTGGGGTGCCCTGTGCACTGTATAGTGTTGAGCAGCACACCTGGTCTCTACCCCCCAGGTGCCAGTAGCAGTCTTTCCCCCAGATGTGACAATCCAAGATTTCTCCAAATATTGCCAAGTGCCAAGTGTCTTGGGGTGGGGGCTGCAGAACTGCCCCAGGTGAGAACTGTTGCCTTAAGAGAAGTCATGGATTTCTTCTACTCCCCTTCCTAGGATCGGGAGGCAGGAGCAGGGTGGAGGGTCAGGCACCAGCTTGATCCTACCAGATATAATTTGGCTCTTACCCAGAACCTCCTGTTTCAACTCTGCGATGCGGCCAGAGTGGAGCAGGTGGTGGGGCAGTTCTTTTAGCTTCCGTAGGTTTGCAACTGTGTCCGAGAACCACAGAGGCTGGGGTGCCACCTGCAGGGGAAGAGGGGCTGGCAGCCAGGCCACTAGGATACAAGATCAGTCATTCACTCCACACACATTGGCTAGGAGAGGCACCTCCTAGGGATGCTTGTAGGGATGGGGACCTGATTCCAGATGGAGATGCCATCCCCCCATGCGCTGGATTGGGCCAGAGGGAGCTCAAGGAAGCAAAGGGGCAGTGCAGGTGGGCCTCAAAAAATAAGGAGTCTGTCTGGAGAACAGACTATTTTTGGAGAACAATAACATTCCTGGGCAAGGGGAAAGCATGTACAAAGGTCAGAAGATGGATAGAACAGAAGCAGATTGTTTCAAGGATGAATTATAAAGCAGCCTAGAGGATCATGGTAGGGAATGGGACTAGAGAGATTGTAGGCAGCAGATTCAGCAGGCATTGAATATCATCAGGAGTTTGGATTTGAGGTAGAGAGTGCCGGGGACCTATAGAAGGTGTTAGAAAAGAAGCATGATTAGATTACATAGTGTAATCCCGAAGCTGTGCTTTGGGAGGATGGACTGGAGCAGAAAGTCCTGAGGCTGGGGATGAGGAAGGGGGACAGACTGAGTCTGTAGCGATTCTAAGCACAGGGCAGTGGGTCTGGCCTTCACCAGAGAAGAGAAAGGGCTGCATGAGGAAGAATCAGACCTTGTCCTTCCTCCTATGTCCAACAGGAATAACAAAGAAAAGGTGAACTACAACCAAAGATTTAGAGTGTATTTCCTAATTCATCATTTCCTAATTCATCCATATGGTTATGGGAGAACATTGCATTAAGAGAAAATGAAGGGAGCGTCCATGGGGACTCTGTGGTTAATTTCATCTATGCTGTAAATATAAAAATGATTTCAAAATGAAGTTGGTTTTTTTTTTTTTAAGAAACCATGAGTTCTACCTCAGAGTGAAGGAAGCTTGAAGAAAAAAAATTAATCAAGAAGGAGGAAAATCTTGGAAGACTTCCTGAAGGAAGAGACATTTGAGTTGAGCCTTGAGGAGTTTGAGAGGCAAAAATGAGGGAATAGTGTGCAAGCTAAGGATGCCAAATCTTAGAGCTCCCAGGCACAGAAGGAAAACTGGAATGAAATGTGTGAATAATGGCCCTGGGAGAGTGGGAGTGGGTCATCCTAAGTGGGGGCTGTGGGGAGGTTTATTTTGCTCTTTGATTTTCTCTGTGTGTTCTTCAACAATCACATACTACTCTCCTAAATAGGAAATAAAATAAGACATATTTGAGGAATTGATGACAGAAAGTTGGATCATGCCAGGAAAATTGCAGAGAAAAATGTCAAATATCCTCCTCCAAATGGAAAGGAAATAGGTGTGCCTCCAGAGGAATCAAAGTATAATGAATTAAAAAGTCTGAGAGGCCATTTCAGAGCAGTTTTTATATGTGTCTTGAATATTGTGATTCTGCCCTGCCTTGGAAGGTTGGAAGGTCACATATTCTTCATGTATTCCCACCCCCAAATTACACTCAGGCGCTGAGCAACATCTCACCATTTGCAGGAAAGGAAGAAAATTAGGAGGTTGTTTGGGTGGAAATGAGGAAGGGATGGAGGTGGAAGGCCTATGCCACATAGTTAACCTGGCCACATGGTGCAGTGGAGGCTGCAAGGGTTCCAAACATCTCACCTTTCGGTCCAGGTTCAGGGGTTTCCCAACAAGTGGCAGCGTGATGAGTTTCTTAGTGCCCTGGCTCCAGGCTCCAGAGAAGAAGTCAGCCAAGATTCCATGTCTCTTGGCTCTTGCTGGCCCTGACAGGTAGCGTTCTTGGACCACCTCAGCCAACTGTCTACAGAGAGGGGAAACATGCTGAAGGGCCTAAGGAACTGGTCTTCCATTAGGTATTCCCACATGCAGTCCATCCCAAATCACCTTTGGGATGTTTGCTGGGTCTCCTGACAACCTGTATTAATGTGTCACTTAACATCTATCTATAAATAAGACTACCTTTTTTTCCTTAAATTTACTTGTCAGGGGCTGTGGGTGGGGGATGTGGAGAGTCTGTTCATGGTACAGAGTCTCCTTTTGGGTGATGGAATATTCTGGAACTAGATAGAGATGATGGTTGTACAACATTGTGAATATGCTAAATGCCACTGAATTGCACACTTTAAAATGGGCGAACTTTGTGTTATGTGATCTTTTCCTCAATTTAAAAAGCAAGTTAGTTGCGTTCAAGCCAGTGGTGCAGAGACCCCTGCATGCTACGCTCAGTGGATTCAGTTCCCTAGGAATCGGGACAGAAAGATCAGAAACAAGGAGGAGGCACCTGGTCAGTGAGTCTTGGCCCTTGGCGACCCAGACTGTCACCGCATGATGGATCTACCTTTGGGCGATGGCCAGGAGTATGAAGCCGTCCACAGGTCGCCTAGTCAGGCAGTTTCCCAGGTCTCGACGAAGCCGCACCCACAGCAGGGGTGGAAACCGCAGCAGCTCCTTGCTGGGCGGGGTCCAGTCCTGGTACACTGCCTGCAGGATCTCATCGTCCAAAGACAGGACGTCCTTCAGCTCAGCCTCCGAGAGCCCGTGCCTGTGGGAGGAGGGACAGGGCACTGGGAAACACCAAGTCTCCTGCATGTGGAGGACATAGAAGCCAAGGGAGGGTGGGACGTATCACATCACCAAAGGCTTTACACTGAGGATCAGTGCTTGTGTGGTGGCCAGCAGACACCATCACCTGTTGTAGCAGTAGTCACCCAGGGAGACCTTTCCTGATATTTCCTTCTGCACACACACCTACAGAACTGGGAGCAAGTCCCTCCCCAACGTCAGGTGAGTCAGGCAGTCTAGAGGACGAGAGGCAGTAAATTCTGAAAATAAGGCAGAAATCACTGGGCCCACCAAGGTCCACCACATGTCTGAGAGAAGGCTGAGTTAAAGAAAGGGAGAGGTTTTGAAGAAGCAGAGAGATGGAAGTTTCCATGTGGAACTGGAATGGACTATAATACCTGTAAACATCAGACTGAGAAAACTGCAGGATTTGCCTGCAAATTTCATCAGGGATGGGGAATAATCAGAGATCATTTCAGAGCCAGGGGAGAGAAAGGCTGGCTTCTGTTTGCACTGGGTGAAGTACAAACATGGTTTGTGTGTGTGTGTGTGTGTGTGTGTGTGTGTGTGTGTGTGTGTGTGTGAATTCTCTGATGTTGATCAAAGTCTTCATTTTGATGAAACACTTGACACATTATTCACAGATAAATAGACCTTCCTCGATTTATGATGGGGTTATCCCTCCCCCTCCCCATAAACTCATTGTAAGCTTAAAACATATTAAATGGAATAAACATTTACCTCATTATTGAACCTCATAGCTTAGCCTAGGTGACTTGAAAGGTGCTCAGAACACTGACATTAATCTTGGGCTGGGCAAAGTCATCTGTACAAAGACTGCTTTATACTAAAGTGTGGAATAGCTTTATACTAAAGTGTGGAATAGCTCACTTTATGATTGAACACTATACTCTGTAGCATCTTGGCTGTTTCTCTCATGATCTGGGGCTCACTGCCACTGTCAGCCTCACGAGAGAGGGTTATTCCACACATTGTTAACTTTGAAAAAGATCAAACATACAGTTCCTATTGAATGCGTATCACTTTCAAACATCATAAAGTGGAAAATGATAAATTGAATCATGCTAAGTTCAATCTCTTTGCTGTTTTTTGAGGATTTGTCTCTTCTGAACAGTTGTTGGAACATTTCCTATAAATGGGATCATACAATGTCATAGTACTTACACCGAACACTGAAGCCCCTCTCTAGAGGCAGGGCTCGCCCTGGATCATGAAAGCTTCAACAGCAGTAACCCTCCACAGGGGCTCAAGAGGCCCAAAGTCACATAAAAACAAGTAAAGATCTGTGAACAATTCCTAGTCAGTATCATTTTCCTGTTCTGCTGAACCCTTCTCCCTCCAATCTTAGGACTAGTTTCCACCTCCCTATCCCTACCCATGTCTACTATCCATGCTTTCAACTGAGTCTCCAAACTCAGCTGGGGCAAGACAAAGCAGATCATTTCCCCTCAATTGTCAGGAGGGGACACTGAGGTTTGGGTGTACATGTCCTTGAATGGCCAGAAGGAGAGGGAGTCTTGAAGACTTGTGCCTTATCAAGTCTAGAGCTGAGATGTCCGATGCAGGAGCCATCATGCACATGTGAGAATTTAAAGTTAAACCATTATCAATTAATAAAATTTAAAATTCAGTTTCTGGTTTCATGATCTTCCTATCAAGTGTTCATTAGCCACATGGAGTTGCCATATTGGATAAGAAAATGTAGAGCCTTGGCCTCGTGGTCAATGTTCTATTAGACAGAGAAGGAGACGACTGGGAGGCCTGCCTGTGGCCACAGAAGACCCACTCAGCCTAGACCCAAGCTCCCTCCCCAGAGACATCCCCTTGACAGTGTGGACTCCAGCATGGATGCCTCACTTGCCCCCACATGGGGCCCCCTTTAGCTGTATTGCAGAACGAGCTGTGTTGTACATGTGAACACACAGTTCTATGTTTAAGCCTGGCTGAGGAACATCACCTAGTGATGGACCTTGTCTTTGCCTCAGTTTCCTCATCTGCCCGGCTGAGGTCTGACCCCTAGCCACGCAGGTGTGTTCTCCCTGTTAGGCCTTCTGTGCGGGGGACTTTAGTGACACAATGTGTGCCTCCCACTGTTGACACTTGGGGTTGGATCCTTCTTTGCTGTAGGATATTTAACAGCCTCTCTGGCCTTCATCTAGTAGCATGATAGGTAGATCAAGAGATAGACATTAGATTATTTATGGGTGGATAGATAGAGTTAGATACAAAGGATAATGATGGTGATGGTGATATAACAGATGACATGATTGATGGATAAATGACAGATGATTGATAAATAATAGATAAATAAATAATAGATATAGCTGATTGGTAGATAAATGAGTGAAAGACAGACAGACATATATTCTCATGCTAAGATAGGAATTCTCACCACCAGCACTGTGGACATTTAGTGCTCCCTCATCCTCTGTGGGAGGGTAGAGGCTCATCTTCTGTGGCAGGGTATTGGGCAGCATACCTGGGTTCCACCCACCAGATGTCAGTGGCACCCTCACCCTGAGTGACAACCAAAAATGTCCCCAGACATCCTTAAATGTCCCCTGGGGGCAGAACTGCCCCAGGAGAGGGGCCATTGGCCTAGAAGGAACTGAAATCTGTTTGAGAACCAGGGTCAACCATCTTACCACATGGACTCCATATGTAAACATATTTTTAAGGACCTGGAGTTACCCAAGTCATCTCCTCTACAGTCACTTCTAAACTGACTCCCTGCCAGTCCCTGGGAGTGATGCTCCCACATCCCATGAGCTTCCCCCTCCCTGCTTTAAATCAGATCTAACTTGGGATCAAGGAGATTGATTTCTGTCTCCTAGGATTTTGGAATCAATACTTAAGAACAAGCCAATCAGATGGCACCAAGCCCCCAAGTGGGAGCTCTGGAGGTTAATGGCAGCTTGTGGCAAGCTAAAGTTCTGGGGAGGGGAAAAGAAGAGTCTAGAACAGAAGTCAGTGTGGAGAGAGAACCCAGAGGGAGAGGGGTAGGAAACAGCTCTGATTCCTGTGACTTTCTTGTTTCCATGACAACTTTGCTTCTTCCACGCAGCAATTATCAGCATGACCTGACAGCCCCCCCCTTTATTCTGGAACATTCCCCCTCTGTCTTTGTTCTTTTGTGCAGTCCAGGCCAGGATGCCACTCTGGGGGCACCAGTTACAAACTCTGGGGTATGACATAAAAGCTGGTGTACACTTCTCTGCAGTTGCTGTGGTGGCCCTGCAGTCCCCGAGCTCCTCCCATTCCTTGGCATAAAGCCCTTATATCTTATCCTCTAGACTAAGTGGCTTTCTGTCCCTGTCAAATGAAAGAAAACCCCCCCTCACTGCCATCTTAACTTACTGGGGACACAAGGCAAAGTTCCCAAAGAAAAATTGCCCCCAAAGTGAGAAGAGGCAACACTGTGTTATCCTACTTCTGCTGATGGACTTGAGTATTTTCTGAGACTGTGCATTAAAACAAAGCTTTGTTGCTTGGGGTATCTGCTAATTGGCCTCCATGCCAACCCCTGAGGGAGGAGAGCTCTGTGGCTGGGTGCATGTGGTGAACAATCTCCTCTCTCTAGCTCATTATTTTTCACTCACTGTCCACACTGGGCGATTGCTCCTCACCCTCAAGACCCAGGTTTATGGGAGTTTGCAGGTCTCTTCTCTGGGCTGGGCAACCGCATTGAAGCCTTCCTTTCTTTGGCTCTATAAACACAGTGAAATTGGATTTTCCCATTTGCTTGTTGCTGAAACCCATGCTAAATGCCTGAAATTAAGCATATGTGCATGCTTGTAGTCAATTCTTCAGAGGAATTTGCTTTAAAAAGATTTTTTTTCTGGGATCTCACACACACTGCTTATTAGTTACAAAGGGAACATTGCAAATACATGGTGAAAAACAAATACACATCTATGCCCAGCCAGGGGAGCATCAGTCAGCTTTGATCTGACTGTAATCGCAGGGGAACAGCAGACCAACCCAGATGGAGGGATATCACAACTTCCCCCTCCCCAAGGTGTGGCCCTGCACCAGCTGCAGCAGCATCCCCAGGAAGAAACACAGGGTCCCAGCCACATCATGACCTGCCAAACCAGATCCTTTATTCAAACACACCTGAAATCCTTAGACCTGTCAATGGTTCAGGAGCATTGACCTACAAAACAATTGGTTTGTACTCTTTGAGATGACAAAGATGGTGAACGCGCCAGATTAAAGGAAACCAAAGAGACTTGACAACTAACACAATCCAGGAATTTATCCTGGCTTGGGGGGGGGGTGAGCTGAGGCAGGGCCTATAAGGACATTTTTGAGATAACTGGCAAGTTTTGACTATAAACTGTATATTAAAAGTATTATTGAATCTATGATGCATTTCTTGAGTTTTATATTTGTCCTATGGTAACATGGGGTTCTGACTGTCCTTGTTCTTAGGAAATGTATAAAATATTTAAAGGTAAATAGAGAAATGCCTATAATGAATTTTCAAGTGGTTCAGGGAAATATGTGTGTGTGTGTGTGTGTGTGTGTATGTGATAAATATAGAGACAGAGATAGATAGAAAGATAGATAGATAGATAGATAGGAGGAAGGAAGAAGAGATATGATGGAGAGATAAGAGAGGAAGACAGAGAGAAAGTTAATGTGGCGAATGGGTAATCTGGGGTAGGGTGTGTGGCAGTTCTCAACTAAAACCTACTCTGTCTTCAGGGGACACTTGGCAATGTCCTGAAACATTCGGTTAGTGTAGCTGGGGGTACTCCTGGCACCTAGTAGGTGGAGGCCAGGCATGCTGCTCAACACCCGACAGTGTCCAAGATGGTCCTCATCACAGAGGATGCTGGAGCACCAAATGTTAGTAGGCTGAGGATAAGAAACCTAGCCTAGCATGAGCGGGAGAGACCCTGCCTGCTATCTATCTCTCCAGCCTACCTATCTATCTACCTATTCTCCCTCTCTCTTTCTACACACACACACTGCAAAAACTGATCTGGCCTAGCTACCAGCAGTTCCAAGACTGAAAAATTCTGGTGTATGGGAATTTTTGCAGTATTTTCACACTCTGGGAGTTTTCCCACTAACCTACATTTGCAAATATTTCATAGTAAAAATGTTACAAAAGACATACCATAGACAAATCCACAGAGACAGAAATCATATTGGTCAGGTTGTCAGGGGCTGGGGAAGAGGATGAGGGTGAAGGTTAACGGGGACTAGGTCTCCTTTTGGGATAATGGAAAGTTCTGGAGCAGGATAGTGGCACAACGTTGTGGATACACTAAATCCCCCTGAAATGTGCAATTTAAAAGAGTAAATTTTATGATATGTGAATTATACTGGGCTGAATAATGCTCCCCCCAACCATTTATGCCCATCTGGAATCTGCGAACATAACCTTATGCAAAACAGCCTTCAGGAAAGTAGCCAAGTTTAGATGAAACCACTCTAGAGTAGGCCCTAACCCAGTGTGTGGTTTCCTTACAGAAGAGGGAAATTCAGAGAGACACACAAGGAGATCCCATGAGATGAGTGAAGCACAGATTGGAGTAATATGTCTGTAAGCCAAGAACACCAAGGGTTGCATGCAGCAACCCCAGAAACTAAGAGAAAGACCTAGAACAGATCCTCCCCTAGTGCAATCATGGGGGCCTTGGCCTTGCCAACACCAGGATTTCAGTCTTTGACTTCCAAACTGTTAGAGAATGTATTTCCCTGGTTCTAAGGCACTCAGCTTGTGATTTCCTTGGAAAACTGCCTGGGAGATAATTGTGTGTGGTCTACCTCAGGTTCAACAAGAGCAAGAACAACAGGCTTACCGGGAAGACACGATATAGCCCAGCACTCCGGCCACCAGGAGCCGCCCATGCGTCTGCTCCAGGCGGGTGCACAGCTGGTGTATGGCCTCCTTAGCAGTAGAGGCCAGGGGGGCAGGCACAGTAAAGGAAGCCCATTTCCGAGCCTCCTCGAATGCCAGTCTCAGCCGCCCTGGGTGCCCACACTCTGGGAGGCTGGCCCACAGTAGGTCCCTCTGCACCTGGCTCAGGGTCCGCCTTGAGGCTGAGAGCAGGAGCTGGATCATCTGTTGCCCTTGGTTTCCAGAGAGAGGTTTCACCTCCCAGTAGACCCCTGGGTCAGTGAAAGTGTGCCGCATAATGTCTAGAACCCCTGGCTGCTGTCCTGAGCAGGCTGAGAGGATGAGGTGGACCCGAGGGGGGCACCTGGGAGGCAGCCAGGGGATCCTCCGTGCCCGGTGCACAGAGTCCACATCATCCACAGAATCCAGCAAGATCACCAGAGACTCAAAGTTTCGGCAGGAGATTGTGTAGAGGAGAGTATGAAAGAACTGGACCACCCTAGCATGGGCCTCCAGGACCTGGGCAGGAGGCAAGGGCAGCCCGTAGGCCAGGCACACCTGGAAGCAGATGCTCTGCAGCAGGCTGCGGGCGTCTGAGCTCATCTGTGACGTCCCCAGAAGTCGAAGGACAGTCACTGTCTTGCGGCCAAGCAGCCCTGGCATTTGCTCAGCCAGTTTGCACATCAGAGCTGTCTTTCCAATGCCCGGGGGTCCCCAGAGTACCAGGGGTGTGTGGTGGTCGTTGTTGTTCTGCCGCAACCACTGCCCAAGCTGAGCCAGGAGGTCCTGGCGACCGCAGAAGGTCCGAGTGGCTTCGGTACTCAGCCCTAGATGGTGGTGGATCTCCTGGTACAGCCAGGCCAACTCCTGCTTGCTCCCCTCCTGCTCCCGCAGACGCTCCAGGACCTGGTGGTTAGTCCTGGCCACAAACTGCTCACCCAGTTCCTTTAGGTAGCGGGCATGAGCCTTGTTTTTAGGGTTCACCAGGTCTCTGCTCCAATGCAAGTGGTGGGCCTTGAGGACTCCAGGCTGTGTATCAGCAATGCGCCCCTTGAGGCCACTGAGAAGGTTCTGGGCATCCGTGTCCAGGCAACCATCTGCCAGCCGGTCCACCATCTTGAGGGCACAGTCATCCAGAATGTGTTTGTTGAGATCTTGAATCTCTCTCAGGAAGACAGTGACTCCCTGGTCCCCGTCCACTGAATTCAGCAGGCCCTGCTCTATTTCCCACTCAATGACTGAAAAAACAGAAGAGATGGGAAGAGAGTGGGGTCACTTTTATGTCACCAAGCCAGCAGAAGGAGGCTCAGGAGTTACCTTGTGGGGGGCAGGGGTGATGGGTTTCAAGCTTGACCATGTGTCACCTGGCATAACCACAGATAACATGCAAACTAATGCTCTTGTGTGTACCAATAAAACCTTATTTATAAAAACAAGTGGTGGGCTCGATTTGGCCAAAGCACGTAGCTCGCCAGAGTTACCAGGTAGATTCAAGAAAACCCACATGGCTCGTCGGCCCCACTTCTAGAAGTTCTGATTCAGCAGACCTGGGGCTCACAGGTTTGTATTTCCAAAAGCTCCCAGGAGATGCTGAGGCTGTCAGTGCACCAAGAGTAGCACTGCTTTAGCCATTATAATCAAAGAAACCTTGGTATAGGCAACACAGAGATTGTGTGTGAAGATGGTATTGTAAAACAATACCATCAAACTCAAAACATTGAACATAGAGTTATTATAGAACATGCCAATCCCGGAGCCTCCCTGGTGGCGCAGGGATTAAAGACAGCACTGTCAAGCTGTTGGTGGCCACTGCAGTGCAAATTCAATCCCCAGCTGGCCAGGGAGCAACCCACATGGCACAGAAGACCTCTCCTGTCTTGCCCGCTGCTCCCCTTAGCAGTTTGTTTCAGTCAGTCTGCCTGTTCTGTTCCCCACTCTGTCTCTGGTGAATCCTCTCACCCCCCACACTTCTGGCCTATATCCCAGTTCTTGTATGCATAAATAAATAAATCTTTAAAATAAAATGCCAATCCCACTCCTAGGTATGGGTCCAAGAGAACTGACAATAGAGACTGAAATAGATAACTCTGCACACGTGTTCATAACAACATTGGTGGGGGAAAAAGGTGGAAAAAGCCCAACCGTCCATCAACAGTTCAAAGACAAACACAATCATCCACACACAGGGGAGAATCACTCAGTCATGAAAAGGAACTAAGCCCTGAAACATACTACAACATGGATGAATCTCTAAAACATGATGCTGAGTGGGGATCATACACAAAGGGCCACATGGTGTGTGATCCGTTGATATGAAATGTTCAGAACAGGTGAATCCTTAGTGACAGAAAGTGGATTAATGGTTCTCAGGGTTGGGGGAGGGAATGGGGAATAACTGCTCGTGGGGATGGGGTCTTTTTTAGGGGGATGGAAAGTTCTCGAATCAGGTACAGATGGCAATGTCACAATGAAGTGATAATATATTATTGAGCAAATGAATATAATAAAGATTCCAGCAGAACTTCCAGCCCAGGTGCAATGAACACTCTGATGAAGGCATAATCAACAAGTTTGCATACTTACAGCTCTTTGCCTTTCAAGAATCATGGCCAGGGCCTCAGCACTCTTATCTACAAGGTCGGGCAGCCAACCAGCTGGTCTATCTCTCCAAGGTCATCCCCGAATGCCTGCATCTTTCCCCCCTTGCCTTGCCCTCCTTGTTTGGGGACTTTGCCACAAATGGTTGTGTCTGCTGAAAAACGATGCTATCAATGTAACAAATATGGACACAGTTGTGTATAAAAGGAACCCTTGATCTTTAAACGGGTGCTCAGACCTTACCGGGCTACCCAGGTCTGGGACCTCATGCATGAGTAATAAAGCTTCTCCTGACCTCACCATTCCTGAAGTACTGCTTGCTCTTCCTCCACCTAGGTAAAAGGCTAGAATTTATTTCTACAACAGCAATGCACAACATTGTGAATGTCTTAAATGCCTCTTAATTATACACTTTAAAGTCGTGAATTTTATGCCATGTGAATGTCACCTCTATTTAAGAAACCAGTGCTATCAATTTTGGGTTTCTCCCTCACACATTCATTTGAGAACCCTTTCCTAAACTCACGCATACCACCCTGGACCCTCCACACTGGGATCCAGAGGTGAGAAAATGCACAGAGGCCCCCCCGTCGCCCTCATGGGATGGCCATTCTAGTCTTAATGAATAAAGAGACACATGAATGGAAAGAAAGGTTACCAAGTGAATGAACAGGTGTATCCCAGTAAGAGAAGAAGGGCTGTCAGGACATTTGAGACTGCAGTAAGAGGAATGGAGGCCACACAGGGAATTTTTAATGAACATACTGGCTGAGAAATGGGTCAGCACATTTTTCTGTAAAGGTCCACATAATAAATATTTTAGGTTTCGAAGCTCAAATAATCTCATTTGCAATTACTCGATCGCCCCGTAACAGAAAAGCATCCACAGACAATAGGCAGACTAACGCTCTTGTCTGTATTCCAATAAAACTTTAATTATAAAAGCAAAGGAGGGCTGGATTTAGTCCTCCGGTTATGGTTCTCCTACCCTGTCCCAGACCATGACGCAGTTGCCCTAAGGACCCGTATATTTTCCAGAGCCAGAGCCCACACTGACTTCTCCTTGGAGGCCATTGTTTTGAAATAGCAATCAAACCTAAGGAGTTATTTTCGAAGCCTCTCTGGGCTCAGCAGAGGCTCCTGGCTCTCTGCAACTGAGTGAGCCAGGCCCTTGGAGACAGGACTGACTCATAGTCAAAGACAAGAGCCACTCAAAAGTTCCTAGGAGTGACCCTACACTCACCTCAGGCATGGAGATCAGAGACAATGCAACTAGCTGGGATGACGCAATCCAAGACCACCTGCAGGCAGTGTGACCTTGGGCAAATCCCTGCATGCCTCTCATTCTCTGTTTCCTCCTCTGTGACATGGGTGTGAGTCCAACCTGATTGGGGGGAGGGGAGAGGATGTGGATTTTCTTTGAAATAATGTTGAGGCGCAGCGGTTGAGCGCTGGGTTGCGAAGCTGCCCGCAGTCTCTGCAGCGCCGGTTTGATCCCCAGCTGCCGGGCGAGGGTCCCACATGGCGCGCAGACCTCTCCTGCCGCCCGCAGCTCCCCTCAGCAGTGTACTTCATCAATCTGCCTTTTCTACTCTTCGCTCTGGCTCTGGTGAATTCTCTCACCCTCCTGTGCCTCTGACTGTACCCAGTGCTTGTATAAATAAATCTTAAAAAAAAAAAAAAGTTGAAATAAAATTATAGAGTCAGAGGTGGATTTGCAGTTCTCAGGGACTGGGATGGGGGAGGGTCTATACAGGATTAAGGGGAGGAATCTGCAGGTTCTGGAACATCCCTATTGGACTGTGCTGTGTTTTTGCTGTATTGTAACAATGTCCACTTCTTGGCTGTAATATTGTGTTTCAGTTTTATAAAACGGTTACCTTTTGTAGAAAACTGGATTAAGATTACACAGAACTTCTTTCTACTGGGTTTGGGCTTTTTGTGTTTGATTTTCAACTTCCTGTGAATCTCTATTTCAAAATAAAAATTTGCTCTAAAAAGAAAGTTGTCCTATGGAACTAAACTCCTATCTTAAGACTTCAGGCTAGAAGACCCCCAGGCACATGCTAACAGAATCCACAGGATGATCAAATTTGGTTTTCGCATTAAGGAAGATAACCTTACTTTACTGCAGATGATAGTAACACTGCGTGACTGAGATGTCACCCATGAAGGAGCTGACGAGATACTATCACGCTTGGCGGAAGTCCACTATGCTTTTCCTGGTGAATAGCTTATTTTGTATTCGTGCTCAGAATTTTATCTTCATTCCCTGATAATATATTTTCAAGGACTTGTTTCCTTTTGTTAACATTTAAGAAGCTGGGGGGTGGGGGTGGTCAGGACACAGAGCACAATGGACTACGTGTGCTTTGGTGGAGGGAGAGCTACGGTGACCTCAACTGAGTGGAGGAATCCTATACTGTCAAAATATTAACAAGAATGTAAGAAACTGGTACTTTGTTAACAAAAAAAATCAATTAAACAAACAAGCCGAAAGGGAAGAAAAGACAGGCATATACAGAAATAAAAAAACAAAACGCCATAGAAGTGAGATATTAAACTCAGAGTAAAGTTTAATTAAGAATTTTAAAAAAGGGCCTCCCCTGGTGGCGCAGCGGTTGAGCACTGGGTTGTGAGGCTGCCCGCAGCCTCTGCAGCGCCATTTGGATCCCCGACAACCGGTGAGGGTCCCACCAAAAAAAAAAAAAAAAAAAAGAATTAAAAAAAAAAGAGAAAGGAACCTGTGTAGGGTAACAATAACTGCTTAAAGGAGGATAAGATTTCTTTTTACTTCTGAGTGTGACACTATACTTTGGGCAATAGAACAGAGCTAGCTATTTTTTAGATTCACTCTGGCATATTTTCACAGATCCTTATAAACATGCATAACCTAAAGTTAACTTTGTGGTCTGACTTGTTATTAAGCAGATTCCTTAGTAGACCAAGCTTTTTGTCACTGAAGTGTTCTGAGGTATACTTGATGTTTAGGGGCAGATATTTTTTAAAACAACTTTCATCTTCTGGATCTGCTTTTTTACACTTCTGTCCCTTGTGACTATCAACTGCAGGTACCAGGTCTCTAGAAATTACTTAGTGGAACTGAACCACCTTGATGGAATTATCTATAGGAATTGTTTTCCAAAGAAAAGTACTGTGAAGAGTAGCAAAATTATAAACCACCTAAGCATGCTTCAAACTGTTCAAAAAATAACCCAGAGAAAGTTTTAGGAATGGGAATATAGTGCTTAAGTCACATTTGGCTTTTTAAAATTTGCGCCTGGTGGCACAAGGGGTTAAGTCTTAGCACTATGAAGCAATCCACAGGTACTGCAGCACGACTTCCATCCCTGGCCAGGGAGGTGATCCACATGGCACAGCATGTCTCCTGTCTCATCCGCTGCTCCCCTTCACAGTGTATTTTAGTAGATCTGCCTGTTCTGTTCTCCACTGTCTCTGGTGAATCCTCTCACCCCCACACCTCTGGCCTATACGCCAGCTCTTATATGCATAAATAAATAAATATTTTAAAAATTAAAAAAAAACATAAGTTGCAACAAATACAGTTAAAAAGGAAAGAAAAAAGAAAGCAGAGTAAGCATGAAAAATAGTAGGTTGGCACTATGGAGAGCTGTGTGGAGATTTCTGGACCTACTAAACATAGAGCTTCCATATGAGCCACCAATTCCACTCCTAGGTATTTACCCAAAGGGCACAGAAACATCAATTCCAAAGAGCACCTGCACCCCTATGTTTATGGCAGCACTATTTACAATAGCTAAGCTTTGGAAACAACCCAAATGCCCAAAAATAGATGACTGGATCAAGAAGATGTGGTACATATACACCATGGAATATTACTCAGCATTCAAAAAAGATAAACACATGCAATTTGCAGCAACATGGATGGCGCTGGAAAGGATCATGCTCAGCGAAATAACCCAGAAAGAAAAAGAAAAATACCGGACGGTTTCACTCGTAGCAGGAATATAGAAAACTTAAATAAGGGACCAGGAAAATGAATAACTATAAGAAAGGGAAAATCAAAATCAGCAAAAAACTATGAACCAGAGACACTCTGTGGGGGGTGGAGGGCGGGGAGGGGAGGGATTGGGTCAAAATAAGGGGGTTGAAATTGTATGGGGAATATAAAAATAAAATTTATTTAAAAAAAAAAAAAGTAGGTTGGAAGATGCAGTCACTGACATGCCCATGGACTTGGCACCCTCGGTTTTCTGCTAATTTCAAGGCGTTCCTGTGTGTTCTTTCAAGTGGGACATCTTAACAGGGTGGGTTTGCCGTTACAAATGAAGTCGTGGGGGCCTCCCCGGTGGCGCAGCGGTTGAGCGCTGGGTTGCGAAGCTGCCCACAGCCTCTGCAGCACCAGCTCGATCCCCGGCTGCTCCCCGGACACCGGAAGAGGGTCCCGCATGGCGCGCAGACCTCTCCTGCCGCCCGCTGCTCCCCTCAGCAGTGTACTTCGGTCCTTCTGCCTGCTCTGCTCCCCGCTCTGACTCTGGTGAATTCTCTCACCCTCCCATTCTTCTGACTGTACCCAGTGCTTGTATAAATAAATAAATAAATAAATAAATCTTCAAAAAAAAAAAAAATGAAGTCGTGGTTAGAACAAAATACCTTAGCTCCCCACAATGACTCCATGATGGAAACTCTGACAGGTTCTTCCTTACAGATGAGGAAACCGAGGCTCTGAGCCAGCCCCAAGTCAATACAAATGCAAAGGAACAGGGCTGAGCTACCAATCTAGGTTTGCCCCAAAGCAGGGACCCCAGATGCTGCTTAAGGCATCCCAATGGCAAACAACTCTGTGAAAGCAATTAGCGCACTGACTTTATGTCACAGAACAACCAATATGGTTTATTGAGTAAATGCTTGATAAATAGAAGACTTTGCTATCTACATAAACAATGCCCTTGGAATTGACTTATTGTTGCTAGTGTTGATGTAAGAATCAAAGCTAAAACTGCCTGTGATGTCAGGTGGGCATCGGGTATCTCTGACATATGGGATGGGGAGGGAGCCTCCTCTCTTTGGAATCCCTCAAACCTATAACCTCAGTCTGATTGTTAGGGGGAAAAAGGATGTCCCAAAGCAAATTCCATATAGGCTTTGTGGACTCCACCCCCACCCCAGGTCAAAGCCAAAGACACTGGGAACTCCAAATCCCATCACCACCAAAGGGAAGGTGGCTGGGACCTGAGGGTGGGGTTAAGCAGCCAGGTGGATACAAAAGGCAGACACGTGGGCTTTGGGGGCTCCATTTTTTGGGCTCTCGGCCAGCTCGGAGTGTCCGGCCAGCTCGGAGAGTGACTTTGGGTTTCCAGGTCGTCGGATCGGGTAGGATGCATTAAAGACTTTATTTCCCTATTTTCTCCCTGAGTTGTACATTTTCCTTATTTCTTTTTCTCTTGTAAATAAACCTTTTATTAACCCTTTTGTGTGTGTCTGTAGTAGAGTATTCATAAGTCCCTTTAAAGCGCGCTGGTGAGGACCCACAGCCAGGAACCCGTTTAATATCGGGGTTGCTCTATAACATGATCATGAGAAACCCATACTGATGGACATGCTACAAAACACCCATCTAGTTATCCTCAGAATGGCCAAGGTGGTGAAATATGAGGCAAAACTGAAAAACTACCATAACCCAGAGGAGCCTAAGTAGCTGTGTTGTCTACTTGGAATGTGGGACCCAGGATGGGGAGTGGGGGGCTGTTCAGGACAGAACACATCAAGGGGAAGCTGCTGAAATCCAAATAAAGCTTGAAGTGTAGTTGAAAGTCACGGCCTGGGCCTCCCTGTTGGTGCAAAGGGTTAAGACACAACCTATGAAGCTATCTGCAGCCACTGCAGCGCGAGTTTGATCCCTGGCCAGGGAGTTACCCACATGGCGCAACAGACCCCTCCTGACTCTCCTACTTGCCTGCTGCTCCCCTCAGTAGAATATTTCGGTCAATCTGCCTGTTCTGTTCCCCACTCTGTCTCTGGGGAATCTTCTCACACACCCCCCACACCTCTGGCATTGTACCCCAGTTCTTATATGCATAAATAAATAAGTCTTTAAAAAAAAAGTTGTGGCCTGATGTTAAGTACCCAAATTAGTGTCTTAGTACCTGCAAATGTATTGTGGTTGCAAAGATGTTAAAAACAGGGAGAACTGAGTGATCAACATTTGAGAACTCTATATTCTTTGTAGCTTTATAACTTTCCTGTAAATCTAAAATTATCTCCAAAGAATGAGCCCATTAAAAAAAATTGATGTCATTGTTATAATTATGTATCTAAAAATCAATGCATATTACCAAAATTAAAATAATATTAATATAAATTGCTACATTTAATATATTTAAATAGAACCACATATGAAATGTGGTAATGATATAAATTTATCTATTTAATGTTAATAATCAAATTCATATATTTAATCTGTTGATAAAATAAATTCATATTTTATATTTTGAGAGAGAAATTAATATATTTAATCATTATATATTAATATAGATAACCATTTTGGTAAAATAAGTCTATATGCTTAATATGTTAGTAATATAAATTCATATATTTAATATGCTGATAAAATAATTCATGTATTTAACACTTGTAGTAATATAAATTCATAATTTAATAGCTTTGGGTAGCATAAATCCATATATTTAAAATGTTGATAATATAAATTTATGTATGCCAATAAAATGAATTCATATATATTTTTAGAACAAGAGTATCTTATATTTAATATAAATTCATAATCTAATGTTTTGTTAATATAAATAAACAATAATAATCCATAAACTGACATGTTACTAAAACTGTAAACAATAAGAACTTGTTTCTCACTGGCAGGAAACACTGGGGAAATTATTTAACCGCATTGCAATTTTAGAAAAATCTTTCCAGCATTGGGTGTGAATGCTGGAAGGGGCAGGGGGAGAGTTCAGAGGTGATGGGAGAGGGGCTGGGAGCTGGGTGGAGGACTCAAAAGATCACAGATGGAATCTCTGACCCTGGAGCAAACAAGACTCCCCCTTCCCATGTCTCAGTTCCCCCCTCAGAGGCAGGTGCAGAAGGCAGGGAGCTTGGACTCCTCAGAAGGGGCCAGTTCAGGGGCTAACACAGGGCAAGCCACTCTGGTTTCCTCAGAGTCCTGGGCCAACCCAGATGGGGTCACTTTAGGACACTGTTCCAAAGCCAAGAGCTTCCTATGAACAGCGATGTGCTGGAATATTTTGGATCAATAAAAAGACCTTTCTCAGAATGGGAGTCTGGGAATGAGGTCTGAACATCTACAGAACCTTTGGACAACAGGCAATGTGTCTTTCCCACCAACCCCTGGGGGAGATGGGCAGGCTCACCTGACCGGTGGTAGCGGTACCATTGCTCCTGAGTGATAAGGCCCAGCCTCCGGGCCTCCTGGGCTCCTGAGCGTAGCACGGATGTCAGGGTGGCTTCCTCAGGTCCTCGAGCCTCCCCTGATCCTGATGTCTGCAGCAGGTAGGTGGGGGGCACAGAATTCTCGTCCCTCCGGAAGCGTCGAGCCACTAGCTCCAGGTCTCCTGGCCTGGTGGTCAACTGAGCCCTCAGTGCCTCCCACTCCTTCTCCTCGATCAGTGTGGGGACTGGACAGGGGCCATACTGGTCACCTAGAAGTGCCTGGCAGAGAAAGGGGTGCAGGTCAAATCTTGGCTTTGTGATACTAGATAAGGTGTGCCAGTCCCTCAAAGTGGGGCTGGTTGCAGGGCCATGGCAAGGATTATATGAAGAAGGACAAAGCTTAAGAGAACCTATGTGAGGAGGTACTGGGAAACAGGGGCCATCAGACAGGCTAATGGTAAATCCTATCACACACAAAACATCATAGATATTTTTGTTTGGGAAACTCCTGTGGGAGTTAAGTTAGGACCATTAAAGATTTCCAGTCTAATCTAAAAGGCATTGTGATGGTTAATTTCACATGTCCACTTGTCTGGGCTAAGGGACGTCCAGAGAACAGACCAAACATCATTTCTGGGTATGTCCCTCTGAGGGTGGAAGTCTCCTGGAAGATAGCATTTAAACTGGTGAGCTGAGTAAAGCAGATGGCCCTCACCAGTTCAGGTGGGCAGCCCTCATCCATCAAGAGCCAAGAGGAACAAAAATGATGGAGGAAGGACTGCTTTCCTCTCTGTGCTTGAGCTGTGATACTTGGACAGCATCTGCCCTTGGACAGCAGGGTTCCTAAATTCTCAGGGCTTTGGACTCAGATTGGGTCTTACACCATCAGCCCCCGATTTTCAGATCTCAAGATTAGGAGTGAAATTATGCTATGTTTTTCCTGGATCTCTAGCTTGCAAACGGCAGATGGTGGGTCTTTTTGGTCTGCATTACTGTGCTAGCCAAATTCCTATAAATCTCCTCTGATGTACAATCCCAAGTCGTTTAGCAACATTCCTGTCAAATACAGACAGAACAGATGACAGGGATCCCACGTAGCCTAGGTATGCGGTAGTCGCTACAATCCAAGGTTGTGTAATTACACTCTGTGCCTTTCAAACGATGACAAAATTGCCAGTGATGCATTTCTCAGGACGTGTCCCCATAGTAAAGTGACATGTGACTATTTGCCCTTATATTGGTTCGGTTTCTCTAGATAACCCTGACTAATACAAGGGGCTTTGTCAATTAAGGCTCTTGAGCTGGGGAAATTGTCCTGGATTATTGGTGGACTCTAAGTGCAATACAAGATCCTTACTAAGAGGGCCTCCCTGGTGGCTCAGTTGGTTGAGCGCAGCGCTGTGAAGCTGTCCGCAGCCTCTGCAGCATGGGTTCAATTCCGGCCGGCCAGCGAGAATCCCACATGGCGCGGCAGACCTCTCCTGTCTCGCCCACTGCTCCCCTCAGCAGTGTGTTTCGTCAGTCTGTTCTGTTCCCCACTCTGTCTCTGGGGAATCCTCTCACTCTCCCATGCCTCTGGCCTGTACCCCAGCACTTGTATAAATAAAAAATAAATCTTTAAAAAAAAAAAAAAAACAAGATCCTTACTAAGAGACTGGCAATAGGAGATTTGATACAAACAAAAGTAGAAATTGGGGTGACATAGCCACAAACCCAAGAATGTCTGAATCCCCAGAAGCTAGAAGAGATGAGTCTCCTAGAGAAATTTAGATGGGAGCGTGACCCTGAAGACAACTTGATTTCAGACTTTTGGCCTCCAGACTTTGAGAAACTACATTTCTGTTCTTTTGTGTTCATTTGTTATAGCCTTTCCAGAGACTCATTTTCCTTCTCACTTTACATATGAAAAAACTTCAGCTTCTTATACCAGGCACCTGCTTATCCCAGGAATAGAACCATGACAAGAGCTGAGGCCTTCATTGGCCCTACCCAAATCTCATACTATGATGTGGCCCTGGGGTCAAGGTCTCAAAAGTGTAGGGAAGGTCCTGTCTTATTTACAATTATAAGATCAAGCTGTAGAATAAGACATAAAATAGAGTACACCAACAGAGCCCCTTGAAGCAGAGGGATCAGCATGTACAAAGGCCCCAGGGCAAGAAGTACTAGTGTGTGCTAGCAGAGGGATCAGCATGCAGGCAGAAGGAACCACATACGCAAAGGCTCAGGGGCAGAAAGTGTGGCAAAGGGCCAGTGCAGAAGGGCTGATGCACTCATAAATAGGGTCGGCAGTGGATAAAAATAAAGTCATGTCTGTGGACAAGATCTTGTAGGGCAATGTAAAGAACATTGTTTCTGCCCCAACATACTCTAAGAAGGTGCAAACTAGATTTAAGCCAGAGGAGGCCTAGAACATGGGGCCCAAATTTTTGAGTTTTCTCATTATAAAGGCAAGCAATTTTCCCTCCTCTCTTCATTGGAATGTACCAGAATATTCCAGAGGCATGCCTCCTGGAAAGCTGAATAAATTGAATCTGTGATGAGGGAATATTGAAAGGATGTTGCTTTCAAGGGCTGTCAAGCATTGACAGCAATGTGCAAAGACCTGGAGGCAGCAAATGCAGGTGTGTGTGAGTAGCAACATCCAAATTGCTACTCCAAAAGTATGTGCAAAGCTCAGTAAGTGTGTGCAAGCAGGAAGTATAAAGTGAGAAATTTAGAAGAAGCATAGCCAGCCAGCCAAAACACTCCTGGGTATGGACCCGAGTAAAGGAAAATGGGAAAAGCTGAAAAGAAGACCAAAGAGCCACCAGGAGAAATGCTCTGGAGATAATGGAGCGGGGCTGGTGGCCCAAGAGACCCAGAGCCTCTAAAAGGAAGTGCCATGGGGAGCCATCCCCTGCGTGCTGCTGCCTAATGATTTATTTACTGGAGAGACACCTCTCCAGGGTCCCTGTGCAGCTCTGATTTTCATGGAAAGCCCCCAAGTTAGCTCCCCCAGAAAGCCCCCAAATTAGAAGAATGATGCTGTGGCTCTCAGGTGACAAGGGGAGATGCCTGACTCACTAGGAAAGCAGAAAGTGGGTAGAGATCATGGCCATGGGTACTTGCCCAGGGAGCCCTTCTGGAAGGACTTACAAGGTCTGGGGAAACTGGGAGATCACCTTCCTGTCCCCCATGCCACCTGGAAGCCATGCTGTGCTTTTCGCTGCCTGCAATATGGGTTGCAAAATCGAATTCCTCCTGGGGTTCCTTTTCTCCCTGTTTCCCATTATTCCTTTTTCCCTTTCATTTTTCTTCTTTGAAACTCAATTAAATGATCATCAGGCTCACTTAGAAAACTAAATGAGAAAAAACTGGAAAAAAAATCACAAGTGTAGAGCCTTCCAAACATTAGGATGTATTTTTAAGAAATAATAATGAAAACAGAGTGGGTCAAAAGATACAAACTTCCATGTGTACAGCAAAAGAGACAGTAACCGAAACAAAGAGACGCCCCACTGAATGGGAAAAACAATTTGCACACCATACATCTGATAAGGGGCTGATATTGAAAATCCACAGAATTTCCATAACTCAACAAAAAAAAAATCACACAAACCAATCAAAAAAATGGGCAGAAGTGTTAAAAAGACACTTCTCCAAAGAAGAAATGTAAATGGATAACAGGCATATGAAAAAATGCTCAACATCAGTTATCACCAGGGGAATGTAAATCAAAGCCACAATGAGATACCAGCTCACACTGTGAGAATGGTTCATATTAAAAAACAAAACAGGGCGTCCCTGGTGGCACAGGTGATTGAGCACCGCGCTGTGAAGCTGTCCCCAGCCTTGGCAGTGCTGGTTCTATCCCCGCCAGCCGCGGAGAGACCCACATGGTGCGGCAGACCTCTCCTGTCTCACCCGCTGCTCCCCTTAGCAGTGTTTTCCGTCCTTCTGCCTGTTCTGCTCCCTGCTTTGTCTCTGGTGAATTCTCTCACCCTCCCGTGCCTCTGGCCTGTACCCCAGTTCTTGTATAAATAAATAAATAAATCTTTAAAAAGCAAAACAAAACAAAAAACAAAAAAACAGAAACGAGTGCTGGAGAGGATGTGGAGGAAAAGGAACCCTCTTACTCTGCTGGTGGGAATACAAACTGGTCCTGCCATTATGGAAAGCTGTGTGGTTGTTCCTCAAAATTCTAGAAATGGAGGTACCACATGACCCAGCTATTCCACCCTAGGAAGCTACCCAAATGACACAAAAAAATACTAATTCAAAAGGAAACTTGCATTCTTATGTTTATAGCAGCACTATTTGCAATAGCTAAGATATGCAAACAACCTAAATGCCCAAAAACAGATGAGTGGAGCAAGAAGTGGTATATACACAATGGAATACTAATTAGTGATCAAAAAAAGATAAACTTATGTCTTTTGTGGCAATGTTGATAGAGCTGGGAGGGTTGATGCTAAGTGAAATAAATCAAAAGGAAAAAGATAAATATTGGATGGTTTCACTTTTATGTGGAATATAGAAAAACCAAACAAAGAGTCAGACAAAGACAAACCATAGCTATGAGACATGGCGGCGGGTACAGGGGAGGAAGGGGGAGAAAGAGGGTAGGAAAGTGAGGTGTGAAAACAGGGGCCTGGGGAAGAGCATAAGGAAATATGATGATGAAGTATGAATGCTTTGGTGGTGGGAGAACAACAGTGACCACACCTGAGTGGTAAAATCATACAGTGTCCAAAAATTAAAGTACTACATTTAAAAATTTTTTTAATTAAAAATATTTAAAAAATATAAGTTCCAGGGCCTCCACAGTGGCGCACAACACTGTGAAACTGTCCACAGCCTCTGCAGCGCCGGTTCAATTCCTGGCCGGCCAGAGAGAAACCCACATAGTTCAGCAGACCTCTCCTGTCTCACCCGCTGCTCCCCTCAGCAGTGTTTTCTGTCGTTCTGCCTGTTCTACTCCCCGCTCTGTCTCTGGTGAATTCTCTTACCCTCCTATACCTCTGGCCTGTACCCCAGTTCTTGTATAAATAAATAAATAAATCCTTAAAAAATACATAGGGGCCTCCCTGGTGGCACAAGGGGTTAAGCACCGCACTATGAAGCAATCCACACCCTCTGTAGCACGAGTTCAATTCCCTGCTGGCCAGGGAGAAACCCACATGGCGAGGCAGACCTCCACTGACTCTCCTGTGCTCCTCTCAGCAGTATATTTCAGTCAGTCTGCCTGTTCTGTTCCCTACTCTATCTCTGGTGGATCCTCTCACCCGCCCACATCTCTGGCCTGTACCCCAGCTCTTGTATGCATAAATAAATAAATCTTTAAAAAATATATATATATAAGTTCCATCCAGTTATTAGATAAATAAGTCTTGGGGATATAATATACAGCATGGTGATGATAGTTAACCCTGCTTTAAGGCATATTTAAAAATTACTAAGAGAGTAAATCCTTAAAGTTCTCATTGCAAGGGAAATCTTCCTGTCTTTTTCTTTTTGTACCAATATGAGTTCATGGATGTTAACTCAGCTTACTATACTCATCCTTTATATGTCACTATGCTGTAGTCCTTACACTTACTCAGGGCTGCTTGTCAGTTATATCTCAATAAAACTAGGGGGAAAAGTGGTTCTAACATACTAAGAAAAGTAAATGGCAAAATAATGAAAACACAAACCGCAATGTAGATGGAAACGTTATATATAATAAAGAAAGCATTTCACAACCCCTATGCAGATCTTAGATTTTTGAAGGGAGCCTCATCTGCAAAGCAGCTGTAGAACTTGCAGCAACACTGGCCTGTTCTGGATCATGCTGTTCAGTGCTGTGGCCACGGAGTTGTGGCCATGTGGCTGGTGGGTCCACAAACTGCAATTTTACCTCTGCTTGTAGTTCAATTTAAATTGTCACATGTGGCAGATGACTCAGTGAACATTGCAATTCTAGGGCCCAACAACCCTTGTCTACTTGTCTTTATTTCCCTACGAGACAGCTTTTATCATGAGGACCACCTTCTGCTTTCTCTCTTATCTCCAGGAGAGGTTCCAGAGGATTTTTCCTTTTATTGGTAGCAGCTCAAAGCTTCTTTGTGATTAAAGTACGTAGGGCATGGATACTTTCTGAACTCCCCCCCTTTATTTTCTACAACCAAGGTTGGCAAACTTTTTCTGTAGAAGGCCTGGGTACCAATATTTTCCCTAGTTTTGGCGGCTAGATGGTTTCCACTGGAACTATTCAGCCCTCCTCTTATAACTGAGCAGCAGACAGGGTGACAGGTAAGTGAATGGACCACATGCAGTAAATGTATTTATAAAAATAGTGAGGGGGCCAGATTTCTGTAGTGGACTATGATTTGCTGACCTCTGCTCTAGGATTTATCTAACAAAATATCATCGTTTTGGGACCTCCCTGGTGGCACAGGGGTTAAAGTCTCAGTGCTATCAAGCTATCGCCAGGCCACTGTGGCAAGAGTTCAAGTCCCAGCCAAGGAGCTAAACCACATGGCACAGCAGACCTCTCCTGTCTTGCCCACTGCTCCCCTTAGCAGTGTATTTCAGAGGACCCACCTGTTCTGCTCCCCACTCTGTCTCTGGTGAATCCTCTCACCCCCCGCACCTCTGATTTGCACCCCAGTTCTTCCATGCATAAATAAGTAAATAAATAAATCCTTTTAAAATAACACATTTTTTTTAAAAAAAAAGCATAAAATACCATTGTTTTTGGATGTATTAGGAAATTGGTGGAATGATAAATCAAAATTCTGGAATACCACTTGCTTACCATAGCCCAAATAGGGTTGTGTGTGTGTGTGAGAGAGAGAGAGAGAGAAAGAGAGAGAGAGAGAGAGAATTAGGGGTTATTTTAGGTGACAGAGGGAGGAAAGAAGACCCTGTAATGTGGAAAAATTGGTGCCACCTAGGGTCTGGGGAAGTTTGCCCCTAAGGAGCAGAGCCCATTCCCAACATTACCAGGGATGTTGGGAGAAAAAAATTCCCATTCCCATGTGACTCCCCACCTTTATTTTTCTCCTGGACCCCAAAGTTCCATGTATATACAAAGAATGGGGTAAGAAAGTACAGACCAAATTCTAAGATCCCTTTGGGCCTCAACACTCTAACATATCTGCCTCACCTTGACTACTAATGTCTTGACCCCAGATAGCTGTGCAGGAAAAGCATCTATAATCAGTTAGTGATGTTTGCCATGTGCAGGCCATAGGAAGTGGGTAAGATATCAGACAGGCTACCCGCATCCCTCCACTGATGGGCAGACCAGGGAGTAGGGCCATATTCTGGTGCTGGAAGGAGAATAAGAGCTAAGTGAGGGGGCCTCCCCTGGTGGAACAGGCAGTTGATGCAGCGCTGTGAAGCTATCCACAGCCTCTGCAGCGCGGGTTCCATCCCAGCTGGCGAGGGTCCCACATGGTGCAGCAGACCTCTCCTGTCTTGCCCGCTGCTCCCCTCAGCAGTGTATTTCTTCAGTCTGCCTGTTCTGTTCCCCACTCTGTCTCTGGTGAATCCTCTCACCCTCCCGCACATCTGGCCTGTACCCTGGTTTTTGTATAAATAAATAAATAAAGCTTTAAAAAAAAAAAAAGAGCTAAGTGAGAAACTCACAACGAAAGTTGGCCCTAGTGATGTTTTCTGACACCGGTCCAGCTCTTCCAAGCAGAGTTCTGGGGTCATGTGGTTAGTGGCTTCAGTGTTCCGAATACCCCACCTCAGATCCACAACCTGGAGATTATAAGAATGGGTTTATCAGAGAGGTGGTGGAATGAGTGATTTTTTTTAAAATTCCCTTTGACAAAGGCATAAAGTTTTTTCAATAATTCTTGGCAGTTTGTCCCCAAAGGGCAATGTCTGGATTAAAAGGGCTTGAATGAAACCCATAACCCCAATGTAATCAAGAGAAAAATATCAGACAGACCCAGGTTGGGGGCACCCCGAGGGACATCCACGCAGTCCTCCCAAGACCTTCAAGGTCATGAGCAAAAGGAAAGAGCAAACGTGGGTGCAGACCGGAGCATGCTGGGCACAGGGTTCCCTCAATGGTGTCTCTGGGCAGAGAGAAGATGTGACAGAAGAACCAGGGCACCCAAATAATGTCAGGAGATTGCTTAATAGCAGAGTGCAGATGTGGATTTCTTAGTTGTGACTATATACCCCGATAATATAAGATGCTCACAATAGGAGAAAAACTGTGGGGTGTACATAGGAACTCTTACCATGTGTAACTTTTCTGTAAATGTAAATTCCAAAGTCAAAAGTTTGCTTACAAACATTTTTTAAAAATTTAAAAAGAACTGGGCATTTTCAAACTTCCTTTTTAAGCAAGGACATGTCCACACTTGTTCACAGAGTTTTCTTTGCAAAGGAGGGTGTTTGGTTTGGGCAAAACTGGACATAGCAAAGTCTCTGGCAAGTGCACACTTGCAGTGCTTTTCTGCCCGCTGGCCAGAGAGGGACAGACAGAATGGTTCCATTCAAGTAGAGAAAGATGCTGACCCTGTGGAAGCCTGGAAAGGGGGGTGGGGAGCAGGAGACTCAGAATGGTCTCTGCTTCCTGAATTCTTTTGCCCAGAGGGAAAGACACAGATTCCTAGTGAACTAGTGGGAAGGAGGGTGAAAGAAAAGGCTCAAGGACCAGCCTGGGACAAAAGCCTTGGTCTCTGCAGCCTTCTGCAGTGGTGCATTGAGGTTGCATAGCACCATGTCGGCATTAAAGGGACAAGCACAGGCCCTTCAACAGTTCTCCTTTTCAGCACCCCTGCCACTGAGGTATGAATCTTGATCAGAAGTGGGCAGAGTAGAATTCCAGCGCTGCTTCTTTTCTAGCAATGTAAGTGATGATGAACCTATGAAGGGGGCTTGGGATGCGACAGATGGCTGTCAGAAATGGCAAGGAGGCCATCTTAGTTAAAGCTAAGACTCCAAAGATATTTTGTCGGTTTCTGTATCCCCATCCTGGGATTGGCATGAGTTGTGGAGACTCTAGAGTCCATGGTGACTGTGCCCAGCAGGGACACCATTAATGCCCCAGAAAAAGGCACGTCCCACCTCCATACCCACAGTGACTCAGGCTCCCACAACCTCTCAGGGTCCCCCTGAAGCTACCCCGGTGCAGGTAGGCCTGAAGGCCTGGACAAAACAATGACAAAAGGTCATAAAGTGACCAAGGAACAGGTCCCCAAAGTATCTACTCCCAGCACTGGGCCTGGCACACAGCCTCTGCTAACTGCCAGGTCGTGCCCTCTCAGAGGAACTTTATCACCAGGACTGGTTACAGAATTAGCAGGGTCCTTTGCAAAAAGAAAATGTGGGTCCCTTGTTCAAAAACTGTTTTGAATTTCATGACTCAATAGCAAAGCATTCAACTGAGCTCAGAGCCCCTCTGCCCAGGTCAGCCTCATTTCCTAAGTTCAGGGCAGTGGAAACCAAGGCAGGTAATTACCTCAAACATCAAGCCATGCTTCTGGCAGAAGGTTTGCACTTCGGGGTAGGCGGCACTCTGCAGGGCTTCTCTCTCTGCGTCCATGTCTGCAAGGGACACATAGAGGAGGTTAGTGGGGAGAATCCGGGCTCTTCCTTGCCCCAGAGCTCTGCTTTATCTCCCTTCATTCCCACTAAGACTCAGGTCCTTCACAGAAAATCAAAAGATACCAAAACCACAGGATAAACCAGAGAAACCAGCTATCCTGGATGGCCCCAGGACTTTTCCCTTCCAAGCTCCCTCTCCCACCCCCCACCCCATTAGCACTGAAAACCCCAATTTTTAGGAATCTCCCATAGTCCCAGCTAACTGGGGGTTGGTTACCATTGGGTAGGGTTGCCAGGTAAAATACAAGATAATTGTTTGAATCTGCATTTCAGATAAACTTAATAACATAAGTATATCCCATTCCACACCCTATTTGGATACATTTACATTTCTGATAATTCAGTTGAATTTCACATCACATAAATAACACATAATTTGATTGATCGGTATGTACCATTCCATACAATATTTGGGTACATTTGCATATCTGATAAACCCAGCTAAACATGCATTTCAGATAAAAAAACAAATTATTTGAAGCATAAATAGGTACTGTTCCATATAATATTTGCAATTATTTACACTAAAGGATTGTTTATTACTTACCACAAAAGTAAATTTAACTGGATGTCCTAGTTTTGTTATTTGGGATTTCGAGGTTTTACTAAATCTGACAGCCTTATTCAGGGCAAACCTGCATTCTAAGACCCTCTCTACCACTGACTTCACTCTGTGGTCTCAGTTTTCCCTGCTGTAAAATGGGAGTGACTCCTTGGTTTTGCAGAACTGCAAGATCCCCAAGTCAAGAACAGCTGCCCATCTTAGTTATCACTGATTGCTCCGTGCTTAACTCAGGAGCCCAATAAATGTTGGTTAAACCACTGAATCTTATGAATAAAAGCACCGAGTGCCACACAGGTGTTGAAGAAACTTTTGTTTTCTCCACACGGTCCGGGGGTGTCAGTCTGGTATGAAAGGGCTCTCCATGCCGCTGGTGTAAAGACGCTGCCCAGGTCCTGGCACTGGAGTGACGAGAATACCATCCTTTGGTCTGTCTCCTTCCCCTTCCTGTGCCTTGCATGTCTTATAAATTCCACAGGTTGTTCACATTTGTCCACAAAATATATATCAGGAAGTTATTTTATGCCCAGACTGTTGCCAACCACTAGGAGTACAATGGCAAGCGAGATGTGCATGGCCACTACCTTACCAGGCAGCCTCTGCTAGCAACTGGGAGAGCCAATTGCTAAATCTTCAAGAAATTTGTGAGTCCATTGTTCACACAGTCACTATAAAAAAATTAAATGAGCTGAACTTACAATAGAACACATTATTTAGTAAAAGTAGAGATCACCAATACTCACAAGTCATCACTTCCTAATTATTTTGCTGCATTTGACCTTGAACTCTGCTCTTGAGCTTGGTTACAACTATTGATTTTGTATCAGAGAAGTGTTAGAGAATGGCCTACCCCACATCTTTGTCCAATTCCCCCATCAATGAAGTCACACTCACAAGTCAAAATTAACCATGACCATGGAAATAGGCAGACAGTACAATGAAGTGTTCAGATGTTTTATCAAGTTTTTTTTTTTTAAGATTTATTTATTTATACAAGAACCGGAGTGCAGGCCAGATGCGCAGGAGGGTGAGAGGATTCACCAGAGACAGAGTGGGGAACAGAACAGGCAGACTGAAGAAATACACTGCTGAGGGGAGCAGTGGGCGAGACAGGAGAGGTCTGCCATATCATGTGGGATTCTCACTGGCTGGCCGGGATCAAACCCACGCTGCAGAGGCTGTGGACAGCTTCACAGTGCGGTGCTCAACCGCCTGCGCCACCAGGGAGGCCCCTGTTTTATCAAGTTTTTGAGAATTAATTTTTTAATTAAATAATTTTTTCCAATTTTAATTTAAAAATTTTAACTTAAAAAATTAATTTTATTAAATATTTGTCAGCATACCACCCTAGGTAGTCTTTGCCCTCATAGAACTTTCAACCTGGTCAGAGGAGCCAAGCATTACACAAACGTACAAGCTAAATAACTATAGTTTATGAGGCCTGGGGATTCATGGGTTCCAAGATCTGCAACATGTGGGTAGAAAGAAGGTAATACAAGATAAAATTGGGGAGGTGAGTAGTATCCCATTCAGGTGGGAAGATACTTTTTAAGCCTAGGGCAAAGTATATTCATCATAAATATTCATTGCAGTATCATTTGCCACTCACAGCGACTCTATCAAATCAGGCTCTTAGCCAGGTTTATGGAAAAAGAAACAGAGGGTCTGGGATACCCCTTCACCGGCCAGGCTGCACTCACATCCAGATCACCCCATTGCCCTGGCACCCTGAGAGTGTCTGCGTGCCTGTAAGGCCCCAGCCCTGCCCTGTCCCTTACCCGACACCGTGGAGCTGATGAAGATGGCCACACCACTGGACCGAGCCGCTGGGAGGGGGCCTGCCTGACCCTGGAGAAGCCGGCGGCGGGTGCCCGGGCTGAGGGGGCCCAGGTTCATGCTGTCCAACCCCCTGACTGATCCTTCCCAGGGAAAGGATCTGGGCTTCAGACACCTCACACCAGCGGCCAGGTGGCCTCCCGGGGAGGATAGCAGAGCAGGGCCATCTGGAGTGAAGATCCCATCTTCCCTTCTGAGGCCCTCTCAGCAACCCACAGCCCCAGGCACCTCCAGCACCCTTGGGGAGCTGAACCTACTGATCCCCACTACTCTGCTAGATCTGCAAATGCTAATGGGAGGAAATTGGACAGTGGCCTCCCAGCCACAGCACCTCCTCGATGTTGGCTCCTCTGGGCACAGCAGGCTTTTGCCCCTCAACCAACCAGGTCCTTGCCCTGAGAGCTCAGCGGTCGCCACAGCAACTGCGGTTTCCTGGTGCTTGCATTGGGGCCCGGGGACCAGCCAGGTTCTCCAACACCTGGGTCCCCTGGGGCTCCATGAAAGTTGAGCTGGGCCCAGGTGTGCAGAGAGAGGCTGTGGGATGCTAGAAGCCATGCCCAGACTGGCAGAGTAGGCCAGAAGAATGAACACTAAGTGGGACCCCCACCTCACCCTATGGGGTCCAGGCCCCCAGTGTCCTATTTACACCAGCAGTTCTCATAGGGGCACTTTGTTCCCCAGGGGATAGTTGACAATGTCTGGGGACACTTTTGGTTGTCAGGACTGGGGGAGGGGGAGCTACATGGAATGTGTGATGCCCAGGGACAGAACAGCCCCAAATGTCAGAGAAACCAGTTTTATTTTTGAGAACCCAGTTTTGTCTTTTTTTATACTTAATTTCTTTATTTGTATATATTTTACATCAGGTGTAGTCCCCATAAAATTTCCACCACCAATTCACCCGTGCACCATCACTTTAGTCCCTTGTGCTCCTCCCACTCTCCTTTAGATCCCTCTCTCTCCTCCTCCCCTGCAGAGTGTCTCTGATTTATATTTATCTGATTATTTTTGTTTAGTTTTGTCTTGTTTATTTCTAGAATGTTATTATTTTTTTCCTGATCCCTTATTTGGTTCCCCTACATTCTTCCTATAAGTGAAACCATCCGATATTTTTCTTTTTCCTTTTGACTTATTTCACTGAACACAATCCCTTCTAGCTCCATCCATGTTGCAGCGAATGGCATTCAATTATCTCTCTTTTATTTTTTTGCTGAATAGTATTACATTGTGTATATGTACCATATCTTTTTGATCCACTCATCTTACTTTTTGGGTATTTGGGTTGTTTCCAAGTCTTACCTATTATAACTAGTGCTGCAATAAACATTTAAATTTATTCTAGTCAGGTCTCCTCCTGCCTGCAAGAGGTGTAGAGACTGAGGTTACCTCTCTCTTTGAAAAGAAGGGAGATTAACAAATTTCCAAGGAGCAGTTAAGGTCCTCCCCACATCAAATCCAGACATGCAGCTTGAAATAATCAGGAACACCACTTGGGACAGTGTGGATGAAACCTGAGGGCATTATCTAAGTGAAATAAGTCAGAGAAAGAAAGACAAATATTGTCAGATCTCACTTCTATGTGAAATCTAAAGAAGTAAAAACACAGAGTAGAACCATGATTGGCAGGGCCTAGGGGAAATTTTGGTCAAAGAGCACAACCTTCCGGTTATAAATCCAGTAAGTTCTGGGATCTGATACACAGAATGGTGATTATAGTTCACAACACTGTGTATTGTCTACTTGGAAGTTAGGAGAGTGATCTTTTTTTAAAATTTTATTTATTTCTGCATAGAGGAACCGGTGTGTAGGTCAGAGGTGAGAGGGATGAGAGGATTCACCAGAGACAGGTGTATTTACTGAAACACTGCTAAGGAGAGCAGTGGGCAAGACTGGAAAGGTCTGTTATGCCATATGTGGGTTAGCTCTCTGGCCAGGGATCAAACTCATGCTGTAGCAGTGATAGCACTGAGACTTATCCCCTAGGTCACCAAGAAAGCCCCAAGAGAGTAGATCTGATGGAGGTGTTCACTAATGCTATGGAGATAACCATTTTGCAATATAGTAGTCCCTCCCACTTTATCTGCAGTGGTCTGTTCCAAGATCCCCAGTGGATGTTTGAAATCCTACTGCTATATATATGTGTATATGTATATGTATAGATATATGTGTGTATATATATATATATATATATATATATATATACACAAACACTATTTCCCAGCCCATACATATCTATGATAAAGTTTAGTAGATAAATTAGGCACAGTAAGAAATTAAAACAAGTAGGATTGATAAAATAGGATGAGTATAACAATATACTTTAATGAAAGTTGGGTGAATGTGGTCTATTTGCCTCAAAAATATTTTATTATACATAATATTTTGGGACTGTAGTTGACTGCAGGCAACTGAACCCAAACCGCGGATAATGGGGACCATTGTATATTAAGTGTAGAAAGTCAGCTTCCATGTACACAATATTATGTGCCAATTATATCTCAACCAAGTTAGAAAACATCGTCAGAAACATGGGTTGTATGAC